AGTAAATATATATTGATTTATAATATAGTTTTAAAAATATATTACTAATAGATGATCTTATATATATATGTCTATTCTTATATTTTTTTCAGTATTAAATAATATCTATAGTGCCGTCAAACAAATTTATAAGCCTGAAAGGAAAGTATAAAATAGATTCAGTAATAAATAATACAAAGATTTATCAATAGTTATCCTAATGTAAAAAGCTACTTATTATTTCCTTCATTTACTAAATTTTATAAATACACAATAAAATAAGATCAAGACAACATGTCCTAATTTCACAAATTTACTTATTTATATTACAAATTTTGTTATTTACAGATAATGATTGTTTTCAAAACACTGAATATCTAATTTCCTAAAATATCCATTTTATATCCATATGATATTATTTTCAAAATATGAATAATTGATAAATCTATTAATTGGATTAAAAATGATTTATCAATTATTAATACATCAATTAACAATTTTTGCACAAATGAACTAGATGTGTTTTAGGAACTATTAATTTATTGGAAAATTCTGGTTTATGTACTGTACTTCCTTTCTTATTGTGTTCACAGTTAACTTGAATGTAAAGTTTTTGAATGAAAATGCAATAGGTTATTCAATAAACTGAAAATAAAACTTGTTAATAAAAATTTTTTTCCTCTTTACAACAGTACAACAGAATGTTTTTAATTGTTATCTTAGACACATGATTTTTTCTTTAGAGAAACTGTAAAATCATCATGAATGTATATGTTTTAGACCAAGTAATTAATTGGGCATTATTCATAAAGACAAACAGGAGTTATAGGAATTCACACACACACACACGAGCTTTTATATTAGTAATGTTGTTATTCATAATGACCGGGCATTATGAATAATAAAAGAATAAATTATGAATAATGCCCAATTAATCTCTTGGTCCATGACATATACATTTAGCCTGATGATACCCATTCAACACAGGTGAAAGCGTTAGCTCTTTCACCTTTTTATACTATAGCATTCATTTAAATAGATAAAATAATCTCTTCTTTTATCAAAATGTTTGTTGAACACCTTGAATATCTCTACAAATTCTCTAAACAATTTAATAACAAAATGTAATGTTAAATATATATTACATAATTAAAGTTTTTTTATATGACTTTAATTTACATATTACTAAAGATAAAATACTGAAGTAGAAATTACACATTACTATAGCTATACCTAACTTTTTTCCAAATTTAAAAATGCTAAATTACTAATATAATTAAATCTGGCTTAGATTTGCATATTATTTTAACTTAAGCTTAAGTTATCTTAAACATTTTAACTTTAAATATGTTCATTTCAATCTGTTTCTTTAAATCAGTAGTTCTCAACCGGGGGTACAAGCGTAAATCGAAGGGGTACAGTACATCTAATGTTCATTATAAAATTGGCATATGTTAATCAATTTGCTGTAAATTATTAAAACAAGAAACAAAAAATGACAAAAACTTGCTTTAAAATATTCCAGTATGAACACCAATTTCCCTTTTAATAGTCCAAACAACTTGTTTATCCGTTTGATTTACCTGTCTATTTGTGCTGTTAGTGCCGAGTGAACCTGTAGTCTAGTAAAATTACAGTTTAACCAAGCATTAATTTTAGAATAGAAAAAATTTTTTTCTATTCTAAAATTATTGCTCGATGAGATAGGGACTTTTCATGTTTTTACTGGACTACTGGTATTAGGAATAAGGAGGCCTGGATCGATCCCCCACCATGTAATGCATGTCAATGCATGCACGCATTACTTGATATTTAGCAAATTTAGATGTTATGTGTGTTACAAAAATTGAAAGATTTATGTATTTTTCTGCATGTTATAAATTCGCAGCCATTACTTTCAAGGTCAGTACACAATTATAATCTCTATTTAATTAATTCTTTGTTAGGTGCAGGGTCTTTCTTTAGGATTAGTTTTTAGTTTGTATTCGCTTGTGCCAGTAAATATATGTGGCATATGAGTCGACCAAAATAGCTGCCATAAAGGGTATAGCGTGCCTGACAACATATGAGAGTTACTTGTGCGTTGTCTTAATAAATTTTCTTTCTCTGTAGATTTTGCTAAAAAATAATGTTTTTTATTATTATTTTGAGATGAATCAATAATTTTTTCTAAAACAAAATTTCATATTTTAGAGTTTCAATCTGAAAAATACAATTATGGATAAGTTTGTGATAAGAGAAGGAAAAAGAACTACTGGTAAACAATCTGAAAATTCCAAGCAATCTGAATCAAAATTACAAAAATGCAATATACCAACCGCAAGTACTAGTAGCCAATTTCTTGCATCCAAAAATTCATCAAAACACCGTTCCTATCAAACCGAATATTTAAATTTTGGTTTTTATTTCTGCTGCAAGGAATCAAATCAATTGCCTTTATGTTTAATATGTAAGCAAACATTTAGCAACAACTCATTGAAACCCTCTCTGATAAAAAGACATTTAGAAAATGCTCATTCCAATTTTAAAGATAAACCACTTAGTTATTTTGAAGAAAAAAAGATAATTTTTATTTAAATAAGTCTAAATTAATGAAATCAACATATATGACCCCTGGCAAAGAATTATTACAAGCTTCATTGAAAGTTAGTTATCTTATTGCTCGACAAGGTGAAGCTCATGCTATTGGTGAAAATTTAATAAAACCTTGTGTCATTGAAATTTGTCAAACACTATTCGGTCCTAAAGAAGTGACAAATATAAAACAATTGCCACTTTCTAATGATACCATAAAAAGGCAAATTGCACTTTGTGCAAATGATCTTCTGAATGAACTTCTGCAGAGAATCAAGTTGTCTGCCTATTTTACATTACAGTTTGATGAAAGCACAAATGTCAGCAGATTGACAGTACTTTTAGTTTTTGTGAAATATCAATACAATGATGAGCTTTGCGAAGATTTGTTAATGGGCGATGACCTAAAAAATACAACTATGGGTTGTGATGATTTCATTTGAAGTAATGAAATAGATTGGAAAAAGTGCATCGACATCTGCACTGATGGAGCTAAGGCTATGCAAGGTCCAATTTCTGGTGTAGTTGTAAAGATTAAAGAAGTGGCACATCCATCTTGTTCAAGTAGCCATTGAATTCTGCACAGAGAAAATTTAGCGATAAAAAACATTTCTTGGTCTTTAAAAAATATTTTTAAGGCACTAACAAATATAGTTAACCTTGTAAAAAAAATGTACATTAAATACTAGACTTTTGAAGCAGATTTGTACTGAAATGGGTAGTGATTATGATTCTCTACTATTTTATACAGAAGTGTGTTGGTTGAACTGAGGAAAAGTATTGACGAGGTACGAATTACATTTTGAAGTATTAGCATTTTTAAACAAATGCAAGAGTGAAGCTAAGTAGAAATCAACTAAGGAAAAAATACAACTACACATTGATTTTATGATTTCCGACTACACTTTACAAGGTGTTGCATACCGTGTTTCCCCGAAAATAAGACATCCGCAGAAAATAAGACCTAACACAGATTTTGCTGAATTGCGAAATATAAGACCTCCCCCTGAAAGTAAGACCTAGCGAAGTTTTTTTTTAGTCGTAACGGTCATCGACAGATGGCTGAAAGTGGCCGTTGACTTTTTGAAAGTACAGCCACTGATTGGTCAGCAGACAATCATGCCACACGGCATGATTTGCATAAGACTATGGCTTGGGAATCACAGATTTGCATAATGTTATCGCTGGTGATCGCTAATTGGTCAGCTGGGAATCACGCCACATCACATTTGCATAGTGCTACGGTTCAGTAAGCACCAATTGGTCATCGAGCTCGATGTGGACACTGTAAAAAGGTTAAGTTGAATGTGTCGCAAGGTGTTCTCTCGAACCTGTTTAGCATATTGGACAATTTTGGTATATTTTTACCCTAGACATGAGCACAAAAAGAAAGAGCTATTCTGTCGAGTACAAGAAAGCAATCGTGGAAGACTGTCGTGGCAAAAATCTTACTGCTTTCTGCAAAGAGAAGATGTTGAGTATCAGATTGGTCTGAAAATGGGGAGCAGATTACGGTAACATCAGTCAACAAGTGGACAACGGAAATGCTAAAAAGCGCAAGTGTGGATCAGGTCGGCAACCATTATTTTCCGAGCTGGAAGACCTGATCTTTGATTTGAATGGATTGTTGACAGGAGAGCAAAGGCTTTGATTGTAAATAGGGCTCAGATTCAAGAATTTGCCCTTGCAATTGCACCACAGTTCGAAATAGCTCCCAGAGAATTTAAAGCATCACAACACTGGCTGGATAGTTTCCTTCAGCGAAGTGAACTGTCTTTAAGAAGATCCACAACACTGTTTAGGCTGGAAGATGCTGAAATTATTAAATATGCATTTGCATTCAAGTCCTTTATTGATGACACTGACTTCGCTAAATACAATTTTTCCAACATGATTGCTATGGATGAAACCGCAGTGTTTATGGGCCAAGCATCTCAAACAACAGTTGATCAGAAGGGTGTCTCTTCAGTGTACATTTCCTCCACTGCTTACGAAAGTGCACGTGTTACTTGTATTTTGGCAATTCGTCTGGATGGTACTAAAGTCCCACCTTTAATAATTTCTAAGGGCAAGAAGGACAAGATTGAACGTGTTTCAAACGTTTTTATTCTTGAAACCGAAAAAGCCTGTGCCACACAAGCAGTTATAAGGAAGTGGGTCGATTTAATGCTGCCGCTTGTTATGCGAGGGAGCCAAAGAAGTCTGCTAGTCTGGGATGCAGCCAGCACACACCGTGCTAAAGACATGAAGAAATTTCTTCACAAAAGAAAAATAGATGAAATAATGATTCCCGCAGGAATGACTGCCTATCTCCAGACTCTTGATATTGCAATAAACAAGCCATTCAAGGACAATTTGCGCATGGAAATTAATGACTACATTGAAAATAGAATGGAGAGAAATCAGCGTGGAAACTTTGTGAAGCCTAAACTGCAAGAGGTTGTGACTTGGGTGAAAAATTCATGGGAGAAAATCACTGACAGTTGCATTGCAAATACACTACGAGCAGGCTACCTTGACAAGAAGTACTCATTTAAGGACAGTGCTATTGCTAGACATGAGAGATTTGAACCAATGATTCTGAAAGAAATGGAGTCACAAGAAATTCACCACAAAATTAGGGGTTTGGATTATTATGATGATATTTCAGAAGATAACATTATTGTCATTGAATAAATCTTGCTTTGTGTTCATAAATACCAAGATCAGTAAATGTACCAACGATTGTCGTACATGTAAATGATAGTAGTAACAATAAATTGTTGATACTTGTTGAATGGGCTAATGGGGTACAGTTTGTCTGGTTATGCTGTTTTGTAATGACAACTACTATACAGTATATAATAAATGTTCAATTTTTTTGTTCAACAATAAATGTGAATTTGTCTTCATGGAAATATAAGACATCCCCTGAAAATAAGACCTAGTGCATTTTTCAGAGCAAAAATTAATATAAGACACTGTCTTATTTTCGGGGAAACACGGTATTTGTGTGATATATTTAATAAACTTAACGCATTAAATTTATCACTACAAGGGAAAAATATTATTATTTTCACTGCCAATGACAAAATTTCTGCATTTAAGATGAAAATTTCAATGTGGAAGAAAAGATGTAAGGCAGGAGACTTTGAAATTTTTGATAAATTGAGTTCTTATCTTTTAGAAAAGAAGATTCTTGTTGATACAGATTTAAAAAAAGGTATATTTCAACATTTTGAGGATCCATTGACTTAATTTAACAATTATTTTCCTTTGATTCTGATGAAACCGTGTTGTTGTTATTAAGCTGTTTCTTTGCAGACACACTAAGGTGACATATATCAACACTATTAAGCTGTTTCTTTGCAGACACACTAAGGTGACATATATCAACACTTGGCAACTTATTGACTTATTGACCAACTGAATAAATAGTCAATAAGTTGCCAAGTGTTGATATATGTCACCTTAGTGTGTCTGCAAAGAAACAGAAAAAAATTATTTTCCTAATGATAATGAAATTGAAAATTATATGTGGATAGTAAATCCTTTTTCTACAAATAAAAAAATTATAGTTTGTCAGCAAAAGAAGAAGAGCAACTGATTGACATTTCTTCTGACATGACATATAAAGAGATGTTTTCTACTGTTATTGTCATTTTTGGCTGGTCTAGTGAAAGTTTATCCAAACATAGCCGATAAAGCTATAAGAAAACTTTTATCATTTGTAACAATGTATTTGTGCAAATGCAGCTTGCCAAATACTGTGACAAAAACTAAAAAAAGAAACAGGCTTGACGCATCAGCAGACATTCGTTGTCAGTTAACAATGTGGGAACCAAATTTTGAAAAAATTGCTGAAGATTTATCGCAACAAATATCCCATTAAATTTTGTTAGAAATTATTGAAGAATAATTTAAATTTTGTTTATCGTTAATTATAATTATTTATTTTTACAAAATGTAATTTATGCATGTATTGAAATGGCATCTGTGATTTTATATAATATACTTATCAAATAATAATAAATAAACGTATGTACCTGATTAAATTTATTATCATTTACGTAAAATAAGTAATCCACTTTTAGTTGAAGTTAGAGTTTTTTTTATGGCACTCAGTTATAAGGGCTGTATACATCTAACGCAGTAATTATAAAATTTGCATACAAAAATATAATGGGTACTTGAGAAACAAATAATGGGCTAATGGGGTACATCAACAAGAAAGGTTGAGAACCACTGCTTTAAATAATTTTCTGATACATACAAGTATATATGTGAGGTCAGCCGATTAGGGGTGAGGTGTTCGACAGCCGAGCGGTTCTTTCAGTTGTGTGGGCACAGACTGACTGCCTGAGACAGGTTTACCATGTAACCGTTTATTAAACATAGAAATTTTCCTTACAAATTACTTGTTAGACGAGGTAGCACCCCAAAGCGCACGGATAAAGTTCGAAATAAAGTTCGTAAAAGTCGGTTTTCGTCACTAGTGGATGGACGCTGTCGGTGAAACACTCGGTGGGCCCCGGGGCATTGATTACGGCTTTCGGCGGCTTCTCGCGGACGAACCGACGAATCTGTCAATTGCTAGGAGCACCCAGAGAACGATGCTTCCACGATGTTCCAAAATGTCCTNTCTTTAAAAAATTTCTGTTTATTATAAGAAGTTTTATCATCAATACTTAATTTATGCAATTGCTCACTCGTCTTCTTTGATTGTCGTTTTTTTTTATAATTTTCCAATTCTAGCCGTATAGGAAAATGATCTGATATATCGTGTTCCATTACTATAAGAGATTTGCAGTAGTCTAACATCGGTTCCGAACATATAATATAATCGATGGTTGATTTCCCATTGGAGGATACGAAAGTATATTCGGCGGGAATATCCCCTTTTAATCTACCATTCAAAATTATTAATTGATTGTTTTGGACAAAATCCAAGAGGGCATTCCCTCCTATATTTATCAGTTTTCATACTACTTTTGTGTATATATTATTGTGAAACAATTAATGTTTGAAGTAATGAGTTCAAGCAATACAAATTATTATTAAATTAATAAAGATTTTAAATAAACACAAAATTCAAATTAAACTTAGACTTTTTAAACCTAAATTATAAGAAAGTCTACAAAATAAAATAGTAATTACCATGTTAATAAATATTTGTAAAGCTTCACAAAGGTTTCCATTTGAAATAGAATTTTCTGCCATTGACATTCCAATCTGATTAATGATCTTCCATAAATTATCCTGGATTTCAGATTTTGATAAATAATTAGTTAGCAAATACCCCTGAAGAGAAAGAAGATTATCGTGTCTAATAGCATCTTGAATTGCTTCCTATAATTAAAAAAACATTTAATATTAAGATGTTAAAGTAATAACCCGTATAGAGTATTTAATAAAATCAAATTCTTCATTTTTCTTGATTATCTTAAAAAGTTCATAAATCAAAACAGTCAAACAACTTTTTTGCTTTGATTGTTTCAATTCTATTTCATCAATTTATAACATTATATAAATGTTATCCATGTTTAAAATCCCAAAAGTTCAAATACAAGCTAATTAAATCTGAAGGTACTGTATTTTAAATAAATGAGCCTTATGGCACTAGTTTTTTCTAACATTCTACTAGTTATAAAGATACGTTTTTTTCCTTTTATAATCATGTGTCATATTAATCATTTAAGAAGTGTTTTTGGTCCTAACTCAGGTTATCTTTAACTTACGTAAAAATCAAATCTGAACCAGAGTAAAAAGTAATGATGATTTATATTCATTTCAATCATATTATTTAATTGTATTCATGATTTCAATCTACAACAATAAATTTTAATACAGTAAAACTTTGATATTTTGAAGATAAAGAGACTGCAAAACAATTTCAAGTTTTGAAAAACTCAAATTGTCTAAAAAGTTGTATTAGACATGTTTGAATATGGGTATTAAAAATATTTAAGTAAAATATAATGCTATACAGTAAATTAACAAACAATTTTGTTACAGTGTTGCATTAGAGTTTTTTTAAAAACTTGAAATTTTGAATGATTAAACTTAATGTTGATTTGTACTCAGGACAGGCAGGTTTAGACAGATACATAATAAAAATAAAAATAAAAAAAATTGTACAGTACAGTATGTATACATATTTATTTATGCATAGAAATATACAAAAAATTATATCATACACTCAAAAACACACAAACATAGTTCAGCACACAATGAAACTACTCACAAATCCATTCTTAAATGCCAACATGTTGTCAGTATTTTAAGAAGAGAAATTACAAAAATTTGTTTTTCTTTTTATAAATAATGTATTTATAGTATAATATTTGAATATGCTAAGATTTTCATCTAGTAAGAAAACATTAGTGTTAAAACTACTGTACCTGTACTTACTGGCCATCTACCTTTGGAAAAAAACTGAATTTTCTTCATGATATCCTAGCAACCATCTTGTAATATTATTTATAAGGAATAATAATAGTTTTGCTCAAAACTAAAACTCATTAATGTAGACTTTATTAATTCAATTAATTATAGATAAGTAAAAATGAATAGTTCTATTTCAAATCTGAATTATAATATAATAATATATATATATTATTATATTATAATTCAGATGTTATATTATATGTTATATTATTATATTATANTATATATTTATATATATAGGCCTATATATATATATAGGGCAATTCAAAACTCACAAAAATTTTTAAAAGATTAATAACTTACAAAATATTTACAATAAGATGATGTGGTTTTCACAGAAATGCTTAGAAAGAAGTGGGATTTTTTTTAGATGTAATAAAAATTTTGGTACCAAAATAGTTACATTTCTTGCCATAAATGGCACTTGATAAGATTACATAATTTGTATAGTTGTTACTAGAGCTTACACTAAGAACAGTTTTATTTTTTTATTCTTATTTTAACAAATTTACAAATGCTACAGCACCATCTATGGCAAGAAATGTAACTATTTTGGTATTAAATTTTTATTACACCTAAAAAAATCCCACTTCTTTCTAAGCATTTCTGTGAAAACTGCATCATCTTACTGTAAATAGTTTGTAAATTATTAATTTTTTAAAATTTCTGTGACTTTTGAATTGCCCTGTATATATATATTTTTAATGCATTTTATTAATTTGCATAAAATGATTATAAAAGTTCCATTTTACTTTATCAATATGAAATTCACTTGTACTTGCAATTATAACTAATAAGCAAGAAGTTTGTTGCTATTTGTTTGAAATAAGTTTAATGAATTCTTGGCTCTTTTCCACCAAGGATGACAATTGCACTTACAACATTATTTATTATTGATTATTTGTTGATTTTATTGACATTATTATTTATTGATAACATTCATTTTGTATTTGGGGGTTTTTTATCTGAATCTAAAACCAACAAATGAGAAAAAGCAACTAAGCATTTTGCATTTCTTTCTTAATTAATTTAATACTTTGCATAACCTAAAGTTGATCAATGTCTAAATTTCTCCATGAGACTACCAGTTAGCAACTACTGCTTTAATGTATATTAACACAGTCGCAAAATAAAAGCTATCATATTAATCTAAATATATTAGATATATTCTAAAAATTTATTTCTATGAATATAAAAGAAAATATTCCCATAAATATTATTATTTATTTCCAGTGAATATTTTATATACTTTAAAATGCAATTCTTAAAACTGAGATGAGAATAAAAAATACTTTTTATAATCATCCCATAAAGATTTTTTATTAGCAATGTTACACTTATAATTAAATGTATCAAACTATATTAATATAATATCAAATTTTTAATACTTAATGCTTTATTTTAATAGAATTCTGATAATTTAACTGGTAATCAAAATAGTTCAATTAAAATTTATGAAAATTTAAACAAATACCGTATTTACTCGCGTACATAAGACGAGGTTTTTATTCATTTTTCACTGCTTCAGAAACATAGGTCGTCCTATACATGCGAGCAAAGGATTCTTTTCATTTTTGCACTAATTTTTGTAAATTGTGTACTTGCATTTTTTACCAGATTCTCACATTCTGGTGTTTAAAAACAAAAGTATTTTATCTGGGTCATTTGAATCATTCTTGTATATTGTCAGGAATAAAGATGAATAGCAATAGGAAAAGCAAAGCTTTTGAACTGAATTCCAAAATTATACGAGAGCCCGATATAAGTTTCAATTCATTCCCACGTGAAAACAGATAATTATTTGGAAATCAGAATTCAGAGAAACTCATAAGTGTAATCAATGAAGAGTGTGAATTTGACTGTTAAGAATTGGCAAAAAAAGTTCCCAATTGTCCAGCTTCACAAGAACAAAAATTATTTGTCAATTTTACAAGATTTTTCCTTGAAGTTTAAAATGCCAGTAATTTTTGCAGGACAATGTATGCATTTATGTTCATTTGATATTTTACTTGTGATTAAACAAAATTAGAATTGTATTAATAAATCTAATTTTCTTTGTTTTGATCTTTAAATTCACACCTCATCCTATATGTGAGTAAATACGATATAACTTTTTTTTTAGTTAAAACAACTTTTTACATCTTATATTTTGAATTCAAACGTTCCAAAATAAAAAAAAAAAAAGAAAAATATAAGTATTAAAATTTTTACCTGCCATGTCATTTTACTCCAATTATTCCATTGTTCTTTTAAAATAATATCTTCAGATTCTGAGGTTTCATTTGTTAAAATTTCATTTTCATCATAATCATTTTGTTCATACAATAAGAGTCGTGTTGTTTTAAAATATTTTGCAAACTTAATATTAGCTTCTGAAACAGATTTGCAATAAAGCATTGTATTTTCATCATTAATCTCAGGTTTCTTCTCTTCTATATTCAAAGTATTGATCAAATTTGTCAAAACTGTAACAATTAACTGCCAAAAATAACATTAAAAAATTTGAAATTATATTTTATTATAATTTATTTTTATTAATAAGTTTATTGCATTAAAATTTACCTGTAAGAGTTGTTCAGCAAATTGACAAGATGCAGTATCATAGATACTTTCTTTTACACAGTTTAATAGCATGGTTATTACTGAATCCCAATAAGTAAACTGAACATTTATTTGACATATCCATTCTTTATTTTGAAGCTTTTGAGCTGTCCATAACTTATAAAATCCTATTAATTTATAAAAAATGACAATTAAAAGAAATATTAAAATGTTTTACCAAATTTATGATTAAAAAAATCTCATCAAATATAAAATAATCTTATAGCTTAAACTTTATGAATTTTTGTTGTTGCAGTTTCATCTCTGCTGCTGATTAGAACCTTGGCTCTTCCAATTTATTTTTTACTTTTTCTGCAGGGGATAAGATCATCAAGAGAAAAGAATTTGAGAAAGTACTGTTATGCCCTTTTTGAGTAGAAACAACTGATGGAAACCAAATGTAGAATCTGAAGTGATTAAAAAAAAAAAAAAAAAAAAAAAAAAAAGCTTTCACACTGTATTTATAAGTGGATGAGTGGATACATAAGTGCAGAAGCTTACTATTACTAAAAAGGCACTGTTGTGAAAGAGTTTCTATGATTTGTTAATAAATCCTGCACCAAAGGTTCAGTTTATTTTTGACTATACCATATATACAGGTTACTTCTAAAATAAGCATGCATATTCTGAGAAATATTAGAGTGACTAAAACAAACATTTTTTTACCAATGTAAGTACTGCAGATAACCACAGTGAAATGCAAATGACAGGAGTTGCACTTTAACCATTCACTGGGGCTCAGCCCTACTGTATCTCAGGTTGTTGTCATTGTGCTGTGTAGTACTGGTGAGTAGTAGACACTGATTTCATTATATTGTGATGGTCAGTAGAAAATTACACATGGAATAGTCTACAGGGATGAATTTGCCAATATGCACTTGGCACTAGAGGCAGCTGGCATTCTAAACGATGCATGCCAATTGTACCATGAACAATTTCCAGTGAAACATCTGTCCAATGAGTGCAAATTTTTGGTGCAGACTAATTTGCAAGAGAGAGGAACACTGCACAGGAATTGTAATGAATGAAGTAAATAGTGTGCACTTTGAACAATTGCTGTGAATGCTGTACATATGCCTGTTTTTTTTTTTTTGTATCAATGAACTGTTGCCATCTCAATTCTGCTTTTCCATGTATTCTTAGTATTCTGTACCAATGATAGTGCTTAAACAGCATACACAATGTGGCTGCTTAACTTCTGAGAGTGATACTAACTGTCATTTTTTGACATAACATGTCTGTGGAACCTAGTGTATTGGCAAAAGATGTTTATTTTAGTCACTCTAATGTTCCTCAGAATATGTGCACTTATTTCAGAATTGCTTTGTATATTCAATAGTCAGTAATCTGATCAAACTTCAAAAAACATGTAAATTAAACAGCAGTTTTTGTAACTCTTAGAAATGAATTCTTAATTTGTATTCAATTCATTTATTAAGCGTATAAGACTTTCGCCTGTTACAAGGGTGATGTTTGTTAATACAACATATTAGTACAGAATGCTTCGTTTATCTATCTTTGAGCCAAAATATTAACTACTCATTATATATCTTACAGTTTTAACTTTGTATATTTCATAAACATATCTCAAACATATTTTTATATTTCATAAACATATACTTTGTATATGTCCTTAACATATGTATATCTACAATATAACACACATCATTCGTGAACAAACCTTTAACAGAATGCTTCGTTTATTAATCTTTGAACAAAACTAATAACTACTCCTTATATATCTTACAGTTTTAACTTTGTATATTACATAAACATATCTCAAACATATTTTTATATTTCATAAACATATACTTTGTATATGTCCTTAACATATATCTATCTACAATATAATACACATCATTCGTGAACAAACCTTTAAGAATATTATTGTTTCATTAACTCTTAATACTTTGCTCTAATTAGTTTATATCTTGCTGGTTCACACTTTCGTTAACATAAGATATTAATCACAATTTATTTTAAAAAATGGTTCATATAGTTATATATTTTAAAAATAGTATTAATGTTTGCTCTATCAAGGATCTTATACATCTCAGATTCGTTGGAACAATTGGCTATTACACTTATATCATACCTTTGACTGATTTCATTTACTTTATCACATTCACAGAATATATGGAATTTAGACAATGATTTATTACATCTTGGGCATATGGTTTGAGAGTAATCCAGGAACTTATCATTGAAAATAATCCCATTTTTATTTAGTCTGAGCTGTATGAAGAATTTTTTGACATTAAATGCCAGGTTCGTGAACATATAATTATTATTCATTGGGTAGTTTAAAATTATTTTGTACCAGAATGGGTTTTTTCGTTTTTGTATATCTTCGCTATCTTCCACAATCGATATTTCCATTACTCTCTGAATTAATAGTTTACTTTGTTGTTCATTAGTTCCATAAAAAGTTCCATAGAGAACCCATATGTGCTTAGAATTTTTGTTAGTTGAATTATCCAATTTCTATTTAAATCTTTATTTCTCGACTTATGGTATAATAAATATATCACCTTCGTAGTTAGGTCTCCTGCAACAATAACTTTTATTAGAAATTTAATATATCTTTTCATTAAAATGGTATTTAGTTTATATCTATTCAATTCCAATCTTAGAGAGCTTCCTGGAGTATTATATTCTAGTTGAAAAATTCTACGTATAAATCTGTTTTGTACTTTTTCGAAATCATTGAATTTACTTAAACTCCATATTGGTGACGCATAACCCAGCAAATTCATAATGATAGTATTGAAGAGTTGGAAATGTATTTGTAGATTCTTCATTTTGGTCTTACAAAATAGTATTATTAAATTATTTATTAAATTGTTAGCCTTATTTATTGATCTTTTATAGTGTTTATCGAATGAAAGATTAAGAGTAAATATTACTCCCAAGAATTTGACTTCAGTAACTATTTTTATTTCTTCTCTTTTGATATAGAAAGACATATGTTTTTTTGGCAAATTGCTACCATTTCTAAATATCACTATCACTAATTTTTTTGGGTTAATTTTTACTTTTAGATCTTCCAAGTATTCCGATATCTGTTGTATTTTCCTGCGTAGTGCAGCTGCCGTCAGTGCAATTAAAACAATGTCATCTGCATAAGAAATCGAGTGTATCGTTTGGTTATCGATTTTAAATCCATCCTCTTCTCTTACAAAACATCTGTTTAAATCAAATAAGTAAAAATTGAAAAGATATGATATAGGATCTCCCTGTAATAATCCTCTATACGTTTCAAATGGTGCCCAGCAAATATTATCTTGTTTAATAATAGTCTCATATCTTCCAAATAGCCTGCCTATTATTTTTATCAGGCAATCACATGCTTCATATTTTCTCAGTTTTTTCTGTAATTATATTATACTAATTGAATCATAGGCCTTTTCCAAGTCCAAAAACAGAGCGAATATTTTTTATCTTTTTCTAAGCAATTGTATTTGAATTAACATCGATAACACAAAAAGTGCTGTTTGCGTACCTCCATTCTCCACAAAAGCATATTGCGTAGGGTTTCTATAATTATTTGCGGCAGTCCAGTAATTGAATTTATCAGCTAATATTGATGTGAATATTTTGCGAAAACCAGATAGTAAAGCTATTGGTCTGTAATTTGTAGGTTCTTCTCTATTACCTTGTTTATATATCATTGTGAATATAATTTCGTTCCATTTATCTGGTATAATACTCTGTAAAAATCATTAAATTGTCTAGTCAAATAGTTGGTTTAACTCCGAGGGAAATATTTTTATGAGCGAGTTGGGAATCATGTCCGATCCAGGTGTTGATTTTTCCTTAAGTTTTTTAATTCATTCCTGTACTTCATCCACCTTAAATATTTCTTCCTGACTCATTGTTTGCGTTATGTTGAATTCAGTTTGTGTTTGTCTATAATTTAACAAATAATATTCTGAGAATTGACTGAAGTATTTAATCCAATTGTCATAGTCTACTCTTCTTTGTGAAGTATATCCTGATTTTGTTTTACGAAATCTATTAATTATCGACCAGAAAACTCTTTGAGTCTCTTGACTCTGTTAGTTTTTTACTAATATTGGAATAATATTTTTTCTTTTTTGCTTGGATTAAATTATTGTAAATTTTTTATTTTGTAAGTATATCATCAGATATTCTTCTGTATTATTTTTTCTAAAGATCTTTAGGCTCTTTTGTTTTTTGATCTTTTGACTATAACAGGAATTATCATACCAGTCACATTTATATACTCGCTTGAAGGTACTCAAACTTTTTTTAAATCTAAATTCTTCTAATTTCAATATAAGATTTGAATAGTTATGAATTGGCATATTTTCTTCTTCATGGTTTAACATTTCTTTAGTTATAAAGACTGCTTCTTTTAAAAATTTCTGTTTATTATAAGAAGTTTTATTATCAATACTTAATTTATGAAATTGCTCACTCGTCTTCTTTGATTGTCTTTTTTCTTTATAATTTTCCAACTCGTAGCCGTACAGGAAAATGATCTGATATATCGTGTTCCATTACTATAAGAGCTTTGCAGTAGTCTAACATCGGTTCCAAACATATAATATAATCGATGGTTGATTTCCCATTGGAGGATACGAAAGTATATTTGGCGGGAATATCCCCTTTTAGTCTACCATTCAAAATTATTAATTGATTGTTTTGGACAAAATCCAAGAGGGCATTCCCTCCTATATTTATCAGTTTATCTTTGGATAATCTACTATTTCTTATATTATCAAAAATTTGTGAAAACACAGTATCCATGTTCTCTCCAATACAGCTATTAAAATCACCACCGATCAACCATAACTGGACTGTAATGGACCATCTTTCTATATGAATTTGAGCTTCTTATATAACAAGTTTCTTTTCTACGGATGAAGAGAGATACATTAGTATTAACCCTAAATATGAATTACACCATATTGTTTTGATATTATTATTTAATTTTATTATCGTGACTATAAAGTATTCTGATATAAAGTGATAAATAATGTCACTTAAGCTCTTTTTGATCAATAAAAGCATTCCTCGTGCAGGACAACCAAATCTACTTTTTCGTTGAGCATTTTTCATTATTATTCTATTATTTTGTTCTAAAAAATTTTTTTCAGTATTACTCAGATTTATCAACCATGTTTCTGTAATTCCGATTATGGTATTTGTATTTATAAGTTCTCTCCCAGTGGGTTTGTGTAATTTTCCTCTAAGACCCTGGATATTCCAAAAACTCACTAACAGATTAGTATTAGCAGTATCTGACAATCTAATATCATTATTACTCTGTTTGCCTCCTTTAACAACCAAATCTTCTCCAGTATTCATACCACTGTTATCCACATCATTATCCATTTTATACATATTCTGTTTTATATTATAATTTTTCATTGTCCTTTCTACGATTGTTTTTTGTTTAATTCTAAAAAATGGTTCAACTGTATGATCTCTCTAGTATTAATATCAATAGTATACATTAAATTATCCTTTATAAAATAATTGTCCCTTACTCTTATTCTATTATTATCTGAATTTCCAAACTTAATCATATTTAGTATCTGTTTTCTTCTAATTCTTGATCTTAAGCATAAGTCCGATGTTATAATTATTTTTTTCATTTCATCAATCATTTTCAGTCTCACTGACCAGAATTTTTTCAGGATTAAATTTCTAGCTTTTACCGATTCCATCATAACTTTTATTGTTCGATTATTATTAATATTTTTTAATTGTGCAAGTCCCTCAATTTCTATATTCTTAAGATCTAGCTCTTCGTTAATAAATTTTTTAATCTCTTCTATGAAATCCAATGTTTTAAATGGGTAATTGAAAATAACTATATTTTTTCTAGTAGTCTCGTTTAACATTTTATCAATTTCAAATTCGCACATACCTTTTAAGTTATTATTAGATTTGACCCTTTCTTCTAATGTGTGAATCTTTTGACCAATTTTTCCCATCTCTTGTTTCACCTTAAAGTTTTCTTCTTTCATAGTGTTGATTTCTGATTTTATTGTTTGAATTTCCAAATTTAAAAGAGCAAACTTCTCTTGAATTAGATTGTAAATCAATTTTAGTGTATAATTGGATTCGTCGCCATGTTGTACTTCCGGCTCAATTTCAGGCTCAAAAAAACCTCTAATTGTCGAACTTCTCTTGAATACATGAGTATCTCTCACATCTTCATCCGATAGAAATTCTTTTCCCAAAATTTCCACGAGTTGGTTATTTTCCTCCACATCCTTGTTAATTTCCTTACGAGGTCTTCCTCGCCCCCTTCTTTGCATAGCTGCTTGGCTTGACTGAAGAGGAGAATGAGGGAAAGGTCCAGGATTTAATTCGATTCCCACAACCGGTAATAAAGTCCTAATTGCTTCCACAGTTAATAATAATTCAAGCCTTTTTAACTTAATTTGATACTTATTCATCATATTGCTTAATTCTTCCATTACACACTCTTTCAAACAGCTCTTCAGAAAAGTCACCAACACTTAATTTGTATTCAGTTTGTTCAAATTTAAGTTATTATTATAACTAATTAATAATACAGTTTGGGGCAAATACAGTAAGATCGCGCTTAGTGCAGGGGATGTGTTCCTAGACAACAAAGCACTAAACGAAACAGCGTTAAATGAGGTCATTTTAACATAGAGTAAATAGGAACAGGGGAACACATGACCAAAAATAAACAGATTTTACTTTAATTTTAAGTTATTTTTATATTAATTTGCATAACATATTAATATATGTTAAATAACACACAAACATATGCACACAGAAATCTAAAGTTGATTTTTTGTGACAAAGGGTCCTGGCTCTTCTGAAATTCTTGTTTTTTGCGATAAAGTCGTGTAGTTTCATTTGTTGCTTTTTTTTCTTTCCTTAAGCAAATATTGGTAGCAAGAGATCGCATCCAAAATGCCTCATTTTGCTTTTGCACTCCTTTCAAAATCTGGATCATTTGCTACAATTTGATCAACAATTTCAGTTATCTTACAAAACTTTTACTAAGGAAATCTGTAGAGAAATTTTTTGGGTTCTTCATTTTCAGAATCTCTATTTTCCAGTTCCACATGAATTCCATGTTCTGCCAGTTCTTGAAAGTCGTTGTTGGTAAGGCTCTCACCAGAAATGTAACTCCTCAATATCCTGCTCATCTATATCTCCTAGTCCTGCTATATCGATTAGGTTGAGTTTGGTCAACCAGTACGATACAGCAATAGGCTCCTCTTGTTGAGAATTCTTGGATACCTTCAGCCATAACTTCTTCCACACTCTGTTCATGCATTTATCAGTTAATTCTTTCTAAGCAAAGTTGATAATATTTCCTATGGCATCCATGATGTTATATTTTTTCCAAAATTGCACCAAACAAACATAGATTTAAAGAAAGTACACCTTTTTGCCATCTTTTGCTGATTGGTTTGTGTTCATAAATAATTGTATTATATACAAATCAATGAAATGCAACAATAATTTAAATCAGCATAAATTTTGAGCTGTTTTAGGCTCAGAGTAGACCGCATTATATCGAATCAGTGTTAAGTGGGTGAACAAAGCTAAATTATTCAAAAAATACAAGAGTAATTCAATTGAAATCAAATGCAATTAATTAAGCAGTAAATGGACTACATAATACAATTTTCAAATGTTTACATTCAGACACAATCAAATCCTGTATGCNTTTTTTTTTTTTTTTTTTTTTTTTTTTTTTTTTTTTTTTTTTTTTTTTTTTTTTTTTTTTTTTTTTTTTTTTTTTTTTTTTTTTTTTTTTTTTTTTTTTTTTTTTTTTTTTTTTTTTTTTTTTTTTTTTTTTTTTTTTTTTTTTTTTTTTTTTTTTTTTTTTTTTTTTTTTTTTTTTTTTTTTTTTTTTTTTTTTTTTTTTTTTTTTTTTTTTTTTTTTTTTTTTTTTTTTTTTTTTTTTTTTTTTTTTTTTTTTTTTTTTTTTTTTTTTTTTTTTTTTTTTTTTTTTTTTTTTTTTTTTTTTTTTTTTTTTTTTTTTTTTTTTTTTTTTTTTTTTTTTTTTTTTTTTTTTTTTTTTTTTTTTTTTTTTTTTTTTTTTTTTTTTTTTTTTTTTTTTTTTTTTTTTTTTTTTTTTTTTTTTTTTTTTTTTTTTTTTTTTTTTTGTATTTAAAAAAATTAAATATACAGTCTGCTAAATATTTTAAATATTTATTTCATTTAGTAGCTCCTTTGTTTATCAACAAAATTTTGAATGTACTTTATAAGGTTTATCCTTTACTTAATAAACTAAGTCATCTATCTTATACCAATTCAAGTGGCAAAAATAAGATTTGGATTCTCAAATTTCTTTGCACATATTAATTATTTCAATCAACTATCATATTATCAGTATTTTAATGGGTTACTTTCTTCACAAAATACTTTTATCAATGTTCCTCTTAGACCAACTTGAAATTTAGCTTCTGTAATTTCCTCATTTTCATCTTTCTTTATCTAGAGAGTCTTTAATTGCACTGTTACAGCAACCTTAAATGTAGAGCTCTTTTTAATTTTCATTTTAAATTTTTTTTAAATGTAAGGGTAAAAAATACTTTATAATTTAGCATTATAGTTGTTTTATTATTTATATATGTATTGCATTTATCATATAATTTTTAACTCTTATTTTTTACTGTTTTATGTTATGTACAGTTAGTTTGTCAGCTTTTATATATTTTGTTCTAAAATTTTTAATTATGTATATGCATTTTATTGTTTTAGTGTATTGTTGTTATTGTTTTATGAGGCAAACTACTTATTTTGTTGCAAGGTAGTCATCACATGCTATGTAGCATCCTTTTGTAAATGTAAATAAATAAATAAATGTCTGACCACTGCTGAAATTCCTTTCATTGCATCTCTGATGAGCTCCTGAGGAATCTACAGGTTCTCCATTGGACCCACACAAAGTTTATCTTTAATTTCCCTCATAATGTAAAGTCTAAGGGGTTAAATCAAGGCTGTATAGTAAACATTCAATACTACTTTTAGCCTTTTCTGATGCACTTAGAGTTATCAATCTGGAAGCAAATACTTTGTTGAGGTCGTCAAGCACTTCTTCAGCTTGATGAGATCTGGCACCATCTTGCATGAACCAGTCATCATGAAAATTATCTGTTCAAAAATTTCAATATTTCCACCAGGACATATGTATGTTCCACCTTGTATGATTTTCATTATTAATTACAAATACGCTGATATAATTTCAATTAATTATCTTAAATATTTGTATAGATTTTTTATTTGTTTTTTGAATAAAACTGTTTAATAACATATATATCCTTAAGAATTAATTTTAATTCACCATTAAATTTTAAATGATAATCAATATTTAAAAGATATATATCAATCATTATCTTTCCATTTTATAGATAAGAGATAAAATTTAAAAAAAATTTTTAATTTAATTTAATATAAACAATTTTTTCACCTTCTTCATGCATTTTAAGAAAAAAAGCAATGATATCCAATTGGCGATTCTTTAAACCTTCTTCTAAAATCTCCGATTTAACATTAATATCTTGCCAGTTGTTTAGAAGAGAAATATTTTCTGCTACTGTTCCACAATAATAAAACATTAGCTATAATAATCAAGAAAAAAATTAGTTTCACAATTTTCTCAAAAATTTTCAAATTTAATTTAGTTTTACTTACCTCACTTACAAGTTTTTCTGCATTTACATTTATCAAAAATGTACAAATGTTATCATTATATAAAAATAATAATGGTGAAGACAATGATGATACTTTCTTAATTATCACAATTTTTGAATTAAATCTAAACACAAAAATTATATTTGCATAAATTTTTAAACAAAACTAAAATTTAATTTTAATATTTAAAATAATTAATGATCTATTAGAAAATATTGAATGAATCACTTCAATTAAATTTACCAATCAGTCATTTAACATATTTTCCACATTTATTATTATTATTATGTTTATGTTTATATAATATAAATTTTCAAAAATATATAAATAAAACTACATTATATGTATGCTAGTTTCTTTAGTAAGAATATTTAGAAATAACTGTAATAAGATAGTCTTATTTGACTGCATTTGATTGTATATACAATTTATTTAAAAGTTTCTTTAAAAAATGTTATTGCTTTTTGAGAATCACAAAAGAAAAACAAAGCAAAAATAGAAGTAAAAAGCAAACAGCTACATAATTTTTGAAATAAATAATTTTAAATAATAAATAAATAACTGAATAAAAATTTTAAAATTTTGCAAAGACTTTAATAAATTAAGTCCTTTTCATATTGTAATAACAATGGAAAACAAAAAAACAGATGTCAAATATATTTTAATATTAATAAATATAACTATCGTCAATAATATATATATACAGTGGTACCTAAGGATACGAACACCCCAGCATATGAAATTTTCAGGATACGACATCGAACATATTTTTGCTCCACGATATGAACAAAAACTCACCATACGACATTACATTAGTTCGCAGCGCCATTTTTTATTCATTTCTGTGCATCGGTCTCAATCCACGTGTTTGCTTCGTCGTGGAAGGATCTTTGCTCGATAAAGGAAATCTTGAGGTATCAGAAAGTGACCGATTTTATTGAAAAGAAACATCCCAAAAAGGTTCACACTGGCCGTATTGCTACTTGGAGTAATGACATTTGTCTAAGTCATTTTAGAAACATTTTAAAAAGTAGGCAAAGCCAAACCTCTTTGGATAGATATTTTACCAAGCGACCTCTATCTGGTGAAAGTGCTGGTGAAAGTGCTGGTGGAAGTGAAGGAAGGAAAGCAAAAAGCAGTGAATAAAAATTAAAAAAGAAAAAAAAAGATAAAAAAATTAGTGTTGTTTTCTAAGTTATTTTTAAGTTATTGTTACATTATGTTATGTAAGTTAAGTTTTTAGTATCATTTCCCTTCTCCCTCTCTTCTGCCACCAGTTTACACCTCCACCCTCGTCTATCCTCAAAAATGAAGTGCAAATAAAATTACTTTTTTTAAATCAATTATTATTCTATTATGGTTATTTATACATTTACAATTACAAAAGGTATTTTCCAGTGTTTTCCTTACTATATTTATTTTTTTTTTTTTTAATGTACTACTTAGCTTTAATTTGAGTGTGTTTTTTGTGTTGGAACAAATTATTTGGTTTTACATGTAATCGTATGGGGAAAAACAATTCATCTTATGACATCTTCATGATACAATCTCAGTTTCGGAACGAATTAATTTCATATCCTGAGGTATCATTGTATATATATACTGAATATGAAATTAATGAGGTATTATCTGAAAACCTAAGTAAAAAATATCTCAGCTAACTAAAAAAATCTGAAATTAATATTATATAAATATTTTTAAGTTTTTTAAAGTTTCTTCATCAGATGTGTCATGAATATTGCTCAAACAAAACTGAAAATAAACAGGTTGATAGAATGCCTTTTCTAGTTGAAGATGAAGCTTAACAGTTTAAGTGTTTATGTAATACAGTCAACTCACATTAATACAAATTACTAATAGTTCGTTTGCTTTATTAAAAATTTGTGTTAATGGTTTTCAAGGTTGGGGTCAAGGTTATATAATTAAGAGAGTTAAGCTTAATAGGCAATTGAAATCTCTAAATTATAATATTTTGAATTAATTTACTAAATAATGTTAAATAAAATTAAATATATTTACAAAAACAAATTAATGTTCTAAATGATTTTCAAATTAAATAAAATGAGGAGGAGATTGTATTCTCCCTTAAAGTGTAGAGCTGTATACCAGTGTAGTTAAACAAAAACAGCAAAAAGAAATCTGTGATTTTTTTTTGGTTAAAGGCTGTTTGAAAGAATATAAAATTTTTTGGAATCAACAGAATAAAAATGTAGCCAAACTTACCAACACTGTATATATTCCATGATATGCAAACTAGCATATATTTATATGGGACTGCATCCATTTAAATGGATGGATATCCTTAAACTTTAACCCCTATTTTTTGAGTACAGTGGAATGGTCCAATAAAATAAATGTTTGATTTGCTCTACAATAAGAGGTTGAACCTATCTTTGCTTACTAGGAGAAGAAAATCTATTCTACCCAAAATGTTAATGTTTATTATAGAACCACTTTTTACTGTTTACATCAAAAAGTGTATAAAGCAACATTTACTTTAACACAAATCAACTATATTAAACTAAAACTCACTTTTTAATTAATTAATTAAGTCTTTTTAGTTTATTTAAGATTTAATAAAGTTTTTTATTTGGTTATTAATGTCATCATAAGAAATTAAAAACATATTTGTCTTTATTTAAAATTTAAATAACCAGGCATATGTTTTGTAGCTTCACATTTCTTAATTCAATGTTAATTCAATATTTTAAAATTTTTAATTAAAACTAAAAATAAATTATATTTAAAGTCCAATTTTATTTTCTTGACTATATAAGAGTGTACTGTATTTTTGTGCATGTAACCTGTGAAGGCATTTAACCCACAGAAAACTGCTGAAACAAAAATAACACCTTTGCATAACCCACATTCCTTCAAATGCATTTCAAACACAGATAATCCATGGGTTATATGCATTAAAATACATTACATAAAATAGATACAAATAACTAAAAATGCGAAAACAATAATGTAAATATTACAAAACCAAATTTAAAAAATTATAGTACCTTTCACAAGTTACCATCAATCCAGATGATTGCAATATAAATAAATACGAATATTCAACTTTACTGATATAAATAAAAATACTTTCTCCTAAAATTTGCATCTCTATATCTTCAAAACATATGTCATCTTTTAAATCAGATGGAAGATCTAATTGTTCAATTGAGATTTGATGAAATTTGCTTGTATTATTACGAATTCCTTCAGTAATTTTTGTAAATGAAGGCATTTTTTTTGCAAAGGCTGTAACTATATTTTTTGATGATTTTTTAAAATCTGTTTTAACCTTTTTGTCTAATTGAAACTGATAAAGTTTAAGTTCATTGCTGCATATTATTGCAGTTCTAATATCTGCAGCTACAAAAACTTTAAAACATCTCTCAACTTCATTATTAAAAAAAATTAAATTAAAATCCCATTCAGATTCTTTCATTCCAGTTAATAAAGAAAATAATGCTTAGCATAGGTTAAAGAAATTATGACATCTTCATTTTATATATATATATTACAATACAGCAAATTTTATAAAATAAAATGTATACAAATATTTGAAATTTAAAAATTCTTAAACAAAATATGATTAAATTTTAATATAATTATTTTATCTTACATAAAATTATTTGATATAAATGAATGTTGAAACAATACAGATATGCCAAAAAGTCAACTGGATTCTATTTAAATAACAAACTTGTACACCTTATTTCTCTATTAACATCTTTTCAATGCAAACATTTTTTGACATTTAATGGCTGTCTTCAGGAAAACAGTTACTAAAAATCTCAGAAAAATTACAGAAATGGAACATACATTCCACATGTTCAAATTTAATTATGATCAATTGAATCTTCCAAATTCTTAAATAGACTTTTACAAATGATTAAACTTGGCTATTGCAGAGAACTTTAAAATACAGTATGGGTACAGATATGGATAAAAATGAAAGCTTAATATCCTATCACACTGTAAACTTTAAATAATGCTAATATTTAAGCAAGATTAAATTAAGTTGAATTATTAAAAACAAGATTAGCTATTTGCTAACACTATAAAATTAAAACAACCTATTCATATCACCCAGATTATTAAATTATTTATTTTGAATGATTTTATTATACTCATTTCAATGAAAATCATCAATCTTCTCTTTTCAAATGTCTAATAATAGATAAATTTCTTTCTTGGATCAATTTTCAATATGTTTCTTCTTCTCATTTACATTAAACACTCCTCTGCTTCCTTCCACTATATTTTGAATATAAGAGCTAACCTCAACGAAATCTTATAATGTCAAGACTGACTTAATCTTGTTTGTGAAAGCAAATTAAGTTGATTCATTATTTAAATATAAACCATAAAAACCAAATCAATGTTTACATTGGTTATGTTCACATAGATTGCTTAAGCTACTTTTCATTTAAATTAGCTTAAAGTAGTAATTCTCAACCTTCTCATTGTTGACCAGTAAAATTATAGATAAATTCATGTGGACCAGAATTATATACAACTATGAATCATGCTTATTCATACTTATCTAGAGTTACTGTACATTACAAAGTATGTCCAGTAACTTTAGATTACTATTTAAATGTCATCCATAATCAACTGTGCCAGCATCAGAACAGTCAAATATTTTTCTGTAGACTGGTGAAACAGCTTGAAGTATACAAAATAAATGGGGTATTCTGTATATGTATAGTTATGGGTTCAATGTTTGTATGAATAGAGTGATACATTTCATCACATGAACAAGTTGATTTTGATGAATAAATAAATAATATTTATCATCATGACATTTAAATTAGTAATTAATTACAAAAAATACAGTGAAAAAATTACATTAAATAATATATTAAGAAAATATTCTATCAATTAGGCATATTAATATCTATTAAGTAAAATTTCTTGCATTATTAAGCTATAATTTCAAAATTTTTTCTGATTTGACAACAAATTTTATAGGCCAGCAAATATAAAACTTAAAAAAAATTATTCAATTAATAATCCCATAGATAACCTTTGCTTTATTCCACTATGACATTACACATGACAAACATTTTCAAACAGCTTGACTGCCCTGCTTCAGATCAGTTAAATTTGCATTCCATTTAGAATGCTCATTTTATAGTTTTCTACATTCAAACTCAATTCAAAATTTAAATTATTTTTGAAATTTACACAATTTAAAATTACCAAATTAAACTTTACAACAAATATACTCTATATAATTTTATATTAAGACCCCATCATTCGAGTTATTATAATAAACTTTATTGGGGATTATTATAAAAAGCTTTCCAAGCATTTGATAATGCTTCTGCATATCTTATATCAATGCACTCTTCAATACTGTTTTAAATATCTGTAATATCTCCAAAAATTTAGTTTGTCCTTTATTAGAACATTTCTTAATCAATGCTGTTTGGTCTAATTAGCTTTAATTCCTGGTTCTAAGGCATATATGAAAAGCATTTTTTGTTTCCTTTTATCAATATCAAATCTATTTTTTTAATCCTGCTGTTAAGAGATCTGTTTGTTGCTCCTATGTATATTAAATTCTTTCTGAATTGGTCATCTAATAAACTTTTTTCTTTGGATTATCATAACTGGAAAAATGTACAAATAATAATTTATACATTTTTCCAGTTTGTTATCTTTCCTTTTTTTATTTAATATTCAAATATAATGCACCTATTTTTAATGCACCTATGTTACGACTTGTGGAAAAGTTTTTGAATAGCAACAGCTATGCAAAAATTATTGATCAAAAGAAATTTTATTTGTTAACAAATAATCCTAGAATAACAAAAATTCTGGAATTTATTTTTAATGATAAGAGCTTTCATTAGGCAAAATATCAAAGTGGAAGAATAATTCGAAATATAAAAAAAGAAAATCTTACCAAATCTTAGTTTGAAAAAAGTTTTTGAATATTCCTATCTACAAGAAAGTTTTCAAATATAGTAGGAAAAAATAAAATAAAAATTTTTCAATATTTTATTGAGCCTCCTTTGGCATTAATAACTGCTTTAATGGAAGATCATGCTAATTTAACAAGTTTTGAGCAATAGTCAGCATTAATCTACAACAAAGCAGCTTTCAATTCACCCTTTGTGATAGGTCAGTTTTCATCTCCTAACATTTTCAGTATAGTCCACAGATTTTCAATAACATTTAAACCAGAGCTATTTAGGGCCAAGATAAAGATTTAATACTGAACTTTTTCAAAAATTCTTTTACATATGAAAAATTAATAAAAATATAAACATTCTTTTCCTTTTTTCATATGACAACAACTTTCATTATCATTCTGAAAAACAACTTTCCCATCTCCAAATTAATTTTCCACCACAGGAAAAAAAAGTGTCCAAAATTTTTTATAAACTTTGCCATTTACAGTTTCTTTCAGAATACATGGTTCACTTTTGCCTTTTGCTGACATGCAGCTTCATAAGACCAACTGGGAATTTCTTCTTATGCAAAAGACATAATTGTCAAAACTTTTCATCTGCTCTGAGTTATACAAATTGTCCAACATTGTCTCCTCATCCAACAGAGTCTGTTTTTATAAAAAAAAATAACTTTCTCACAATCATTTATGGCTCACTTTTGGTAACACCTTGTTCATTCCATTCATTTTTTCTTATGTTGTTATGTCATGAAAGGTTTTATTTTGGCTTTACAAAACTTATAGCCTATTTCATTTAACCAGTTTTGAACCTTACAACTGTATATGTTGGCATGATGAACTTTCCATTTAACATTTAAATCTTTTGATGTGACTTTTTGATTTTGTAGGCAGATGAGTATTAAGACTTGGATTTTTGTTCATTCATTTGATTGACTACTTCTCTTCAATGTTTTTACACTCCACGATTTCTTATATTTCTTCCATGTGAAATTTACTACTGAAACAGCATAATAAAACTGTTGAGAAACTTCTGAGTTTTCCCTTCCAGAATCAAAGTCAAAATTTGGTTTTAAAAGCAATGTAAAGGTAACAATAATGGAGATAGATGAATAATTTGCATAAACTAATGTGATTACTGTTATAGTGTGTGTTTTAACACATTTTTCCTACTATATTCAAAAGCTTTTTTATTGAGATAAGAATGTTTCAAAACGTTTTTCCAGATTAAGATTTGGACACACAAAAGATTTAAATTATATACTAATATGGTAATATAAAATACTGAACAACAAGTAAAATAAGAAGAGCATATAACAGAATTATAGATAATGTAAAATAATAGTTTACCAATATAGTGACTTAAGGTTAAAAGAAGCTCAAAACATTTCAGTGCACCTTCCTCCCCTAAAAAGGCAATCAAACCCAGGCATATTAACATTATTTAACAACTGTGCTAACTTTAAAATATATCTATATATTGTATAAATGAGAATCGCAACTGAGAATATTAAAAAAATTTTAATAATAAGTTCAACCACTAATCCATTTGCATTGAATGGACAATAATAAAATAATAACAGCAATGGTACTTATATAATTTTAAAATAACTTTCAATAAATGTATAAAATGTCTTAAAATTTTTCTAAAAAATTTCTTTCTAAGACATGATTATATCTTATGTGGATGGATGTTACAGGCAGGTAAATACAATACTCAATATGTTGTTTTGCAAAATTTGATTATTTATAAAATATATATAATAAAGATTTATTATTAAAAGTGAATAATTATATTTTAAAGGATACAAAGAACATTTCTTCCATTATTCAGTGTGAATAATTTATCATTATATATTTGATAATAAGAGACTGGTCCAAAATCAACTGCTACATTTATTGACAAATATTTTTCATGTTTATTATTAGATATCAAAACATAAATTAAAACAATCTCATTATTCATCAAAAATACAGATTTTTGTTGAGTATATAACAAAATATCCACATGCTGTATTTCTGAAATGAAAAATTAAAAACAGTAATTATGTTTACGAAGTATATTTGTATATAATTTTTTTATATTGTTCAAATTAAATTTTTCAGGTTTATAATTTGATTTTAGTGTATTTCATATTATCTTATATAACAAAAATTTATTAATTTCATTTTCATTGTTATTTAAATCATTATGTATGCTTTCAAATATTCTAAATTTAATTTATTAATACATACTCAAATAACAAATCATTAAAGCTATGCAAAAGTTAATGTTTTTTAATTATATTATTCTTATTAAATAATAGAAAAATTTACATTTATATAAATTTTAATAATAATGGCTGAAAGTTTTCTATTAGAAAATTCAAATCATTTTTGTTATCACTTTAATTAACTCAACTGAAAAGTTTTGTAATTCAAATTAAAACTGAAATCAAATCAATTGAAAAGTAATATTTCAAAAAGTGTGGATAAAGTTATAGATACAGATAATACTATATTATATACAATATAATATAATATTATATATATAATATGCTATATAATATTATATTGCATTTGTAGGTATTTTTATTAGTGTTGTAACGAATAGTATATTCGGCCTCAGGCCGTATATTTGGCCTCAGGCCGAATACCGAATATTTGGCCAAGAGCGTGGCTGAATAGCCGAATATTCGGCCAAACTATTCGGCTCAATTAACGCACGTACGAAAATTGGCGCGCAAACCGCATTATGGCAAGGATCATGCTCTCTATTGGCCCGCTGTCACTACGCTTCGCTAATCGCTTTAATTCTTGGCAGTTGTAGCGGACAGACAAGAGTGTCATGGAAGTATGTGATAAATGATGATATCAAATGTGGATAACAACGAAATGACCTACACGTGTAAATAATGGAAAAAGAACAGAGAAGGACCGCGAAGTAAAAATGTGAAAATAAATATGAAATTGAGTCGATAACATAATCGAACAAGTCGAGACAGCTTATTGGCACGAAATTCGTGGCCGTCAATGCCAAACAATTGTTGTCATAGTCTTCGGAAAGCTAAATGCTTGTAATGGAAGTCACTTAGCGTGCACGGGCGAAAGCCTGGGGCCGTTCGGGCTATCAAGCTGTCTCGAATCTGTGAAATCATAACTGTGACTTATATCGACGTCCTATCTGTCTCTTTTCTCCGTTATCACCAGGCTGAGTCACGTAATTGTAAAATGGGAACTCTACGACGGAAAAGTGACGAATCGAAAGTATCGTGAGCGCGTATTATGATGTATGCACAGGTATACGTGGATTAGAGCGATAGAGGAAAGAGAAAGGGAAGAGCAAAGACGAGCGCTTAAAAAGAAGGATAGGTAGGGTCAGATCCTCAGATGTGCGAGGATTCTCCAACAATAGATGTGTACGTGTGCTGACCTTTGTAATTATAAATTGTGAATACATGTGACTAATATTATTTTCTTTTTTATTTTGTTCATGTTTCAAGTTAACAAATATAAACAATAAATATAAACAAACAACACTAACTCGATAACATTAAATCTAAGTACCAAAACGATTAATTTACTGTGTTTTTGTTATTTATTACTTCTGTTTTTAGGTATTCGGTATTCGGCCAAATAGTGATTAAATATTCGGTATTCGGCCGAATAGTGAAAAATAGGCCGAATAGGCCGAATACCGAATAGTAACCGAATATTCGTTACATCACTAATTTTTATGCATTATTTTTATGCTTGAAATACATCTAAAAAACTATAAAAAAAAAGAGTTTGTTTTGGGAGCTGGGAATGAATTAATCCATTTTACATTGTTTCTTATGGGAAAATTTGTTTTGGTTTGAGAACAAATTGGTTTCTGAACAACTTTTAGTAATGAATTAAGTTCATAAACCAAGGTTTGATTGTATAAAACTATACTGAAGCTAAAATCATTTAATTTTTAATCTGTTTAATTACTAATGTAAGTTGATTCAATCCTACAAATTACATAGAATATGATTAAATAATTTTTAAAATATTTACCTTCTTCATATAATGAAAGTTCTTCAATAAAAGAAAATGTTTGTTCAATGTGAAGAAGAAAGGCACAATCACAATGATTTTCTAAGTGTTGAACAGAAATTGTATAATAATGTACCAAATTAGAACTTGTTATTGTTATTAGATGATAGTCTTCAGAAGTTAAATTATCATCTTGCCAAATAAACCTGTAATTAAAATGATCATTAAAAAATTAAAAATCAAAGTAATACAATTTACTGTTTTGTCTAAAATAATACAATTAAGAACAAGATATAGAATCAGAAATGTTTCTTTAAATTTAACTTGTACTCAGTGTTAGTTTTTTATACAAAAAAAAAACTAAAAGATAAGACCTCAACATCAATCATATAAAAGCAAAATTCTATATTTGATTTAATTCCTAGAAGATTACAGTATAAAATATAGCATCATAAATTTTAAAAAAAGTAGAAATCTAGGTTATTAGACACAAAAAATATATTAATTAGATATTATACAATATTCAATTCATATTTTGTCTATTAAAAGTAACAAAAAAATTTAATAATTAATTCAAAATAATATACCAGTATTTTATATTAATTCCACTTATCTACATATTGAAATATCTCATTTTTTTAAAGTGTTCTTGTAACAAGCAAAGATAATATAATATTTCTGTATGATGTGAAGACTAGTTTCATGTTTTCATAGTATTTCTGTTCCCTTCCAAATTTTTTAAACTTATTGTTTTATTATTTAGTGACAAAAGCTTTAAATATTTTCATTTCTTCTCAATGTACAAATGAATAAAATATATAAGAAATAAAATATGTCAAGGGTAGCTCTACTTTTGGCCACTACTGTATGGCAGCAAGCTCTTTCTCATAATTGGTGATATATTTACTGACAATATGTCTACATCAGTTATAATCTATTCAAGTTTGTTCAAAACAGATTATCCACAAATATAATTAAATAATTAGAATATATACATCAAACTTTGTGTTTGATTTGGAAAATCCAAAGAAGGATTATGAATAAACCAGAAAATGTTTTTTAAAAGGAAAGGATTCAATGCTGGAAGGAATGAGGTTTAGAAATTTTTTTAAAATTTACATATTCACAATTAAGATTTTGTAGATTAGAAAACAAAATAATAAAACATTCTAACATATTTGTGTAAGTATTATTTAAATTATTAATTTAAAACCTTTCAAATTATAAGTTTAAAGAATTTCTAGAAGAAAAGAATATTAAATTATTAAAATTAAAGGGAGAATAACTCATTCCAAGCAACTAACCTTTCATTCCTTCCAGCATTAAATCCTTTCCTTTTCTGAGGACCCAACCGAGGTCCAAAATCGTGTAAATCATGATGTTCTTATGTTTAAATATTAACAATAGATTAAATATGAGAGGGAGAGGAAAATCCCATAATTTAAACAATGCGGCACAAAATGTAAACGAGTCTTGGATGACTCCAACACATGTTAAATGAACTGTCAATGTCAGAATGAAAAGTTATAAGTCAGAGACAAGTGATCATATGCAGGTAAAACTTTGACCCCAGCACTCATAAACAATCAATCTAGGGAAACAATTTCGGAAAAGAGGGAAAGATTTAAGAGAAATAAATCATTGCATATGATCGTTCGAGTACCCAGATGACAGAAATTGTGAGTTATGGAGCTAAATTATGAGTACAAGTCTTGCAATTTTGTCAACAATCCCCAAGAACAATCGACAGAACGGCGTCGAGCGGACACCTGGAATCGGACCTCTCCCGTGACCAGAGTCAGTCTTGGTTTCCCCAAAACAAAAGAGAGACCAATCGGGAAGCGAGGAAGGAAACGAGGGACCAATCAGAAGTCCAAATAGTGGAAGAAACTATAAAAATCCGAAATTCAAGGTCGGAAGAGGCTCTTCTCCGTATTCCACGATAGGTCGTGACTACATTGTGGTGTGTCGTCACCAAGAACTTTAGACTCTGCCACTTCCTCCTTCCGATTGTCCACCTTGCTCAGTGACCTCATCTTGTCCGCCCTGGGGCCAGACAGACGCCAAAGTCCTCGCCTCTCTGCATCTTCGACGAGAAGAACCTAGTGAAGGACTGTCGATTGTCAATGTAAGTATAAATGCTAACAAATAAACGGCTTTCTTGTGTAAAACACTTGTCATCATTTGCCTCCTCTGTCACAGCCCACATACAATCTTCCCTTAGGTTCATCCTGACGCGGGATTAATAGATCCCACCTAGGAGACGACAACCTTACACAGGTGCCATGGAGTGGGTTTCAAGTCCCCTATCTCCACCGGGCCGGCTACCTTACACTTTTAAAAAATATTTTCTGATTTATTCATAATCCTTCTTTGGGTTTTCCAAATCAAACACAAAGTTTGATGTATATATTCTAATTATCTATATATATATACATATATATATATATAAATGGAAGTGTTTGTGCCTATACGTCACTCTGCAGCCAAAACTACACATCGCATATGAATGGTGTTTGTGTGTGGTAGTAGCCCCAAGTCTCCCATCATGCACTATGGTGGTTGCGTCTCGATAGCTATAAGGGTGTGAGAGATATGGAGTTTGAAAGTGGTTGACTTTGAAAATGTGTAACGCTTCAATGAGAATGTTCCAGTTTTTTCTAGAAAGTTCCAGAATCTAGAGGTGAAATTTGGTACACAGTTAGGGTACATCATGAAAACGCACACTAAAAAGGGCTTTTTCGAAATTCCCCCACAGGGGGAGGGGGAGAGCATTAAAGCTTAACCTGAAGAATGGCTTCTACTGTACTATTTTAGATGCAATTTTTTTTTTTTAATTACGTGTAGTCTTCATTGAGTAGTTAGGAGTATTAAATTGATAACATTTCAGACATTGTTATAAATATTTTTTATATATTTCGTTTTTTTAACCAAATATTTGAACCATTTTAAATTCGAATTTCTTTTTGCATATTGGTTCATTTATAGAACGATTGTAAACGTTCCTGAAAATTGATTAAATTGAAAACAGTTTGTTTGATTCTCAGCAATTCTCATCATTCTCAGTGGTAGGTGTTAAATAACAATTGTTGTTTCAATAACTATGGTTGTTGAAATATTGAATGTAAATAGGGTTTGCTTGCAAAATCTGTGCAAGCGAAGCCACGGGTAACAGCTAGTTTAATTATATTTGTGGATAATCTGTTTTGAACAAACTTGAATAGATTATAACTGATGTAGACATTGTCAGTAAATATATCACCAATTATGAGAAAGAGCTTGCTGCCATACAGTAGTGGCCAAAAGTACAGCTACCCTTGACATATTTTTTAAAAATGCGACCTCTATTTTGTTTACCACATACTACATAATTAATATTGTGATAGTTGAAAACAGCACAAGAGTCAAATTACTCAATTGAATCAAACAGATTTTATTTTAAATCTGATTTACAAAAGAAAAACCCAAAGTATTTTACATTTTACACTATGACAAAAGTAGAAGAAAGAATACAAGAATAGAGATAAAGGATGAGGATGTTTCTCTGCTAGAGATAAAGGAAGTATGCAGATTTGTCCAGTATTTTTAGGACAAAGTATTAGTATTTTGAGATGTAACTAGAGCTTCTGATTACTGCATCACATCTACATTCCATTGAATCAACTAAGTTGTCAAGCACTGATTGGGGAATCTCATACCATGCTTTTTGGATGGCAGACCACAATTCATCTGGATTCGAATATGTAAGAGGTCTGTTCAAAAAGTATCTTTTATTTTTTCCGCGTAAACCAATGATGCGCAGGAGGCCTCTTTCAGTGGAGTTGTGGAAGGGACAGTCATGCACAGCCCTGAATTTTTTCCCACCTGCAGGAAGTGTCAGTCATTGGCAGTCGGCCTATGAGTGAGGACATGTAGTGAGCTCTCATCAGATTCCACTAAGTTGGAAAATGACTGAACAACGTGAGCAGTGATATTACATCAAATTTTGCCAAAAACTTTTGCGATACCGAAGCGTAAACCATTCACAAGATTCAGCAGGCTTTCGGGGACGATCCTCGAAGCGAAAATAAGTGCGGCAGGTCCACAGCAATATCAAGGTCATGTTGACAGTTTTTTCGACTCTCGTGGGGTGGTGTATCGTGAGTATGCACCACAAGGCCAAACCATCACAAAGGAGTACAACCAGGAGGTCCATCATCGTCTTTCCGATGTTGTGCGACACAAACGACCGGATCTGTAGTCGATCAAAACTTGGCAGCTCCGTCATGATAACGCATCCACCCATTCTGCACATCTGATTCCGACTTTCATCGCCAAACACAACACTCCTGTGGTTTGTCACACTCTGTACTCTCCCTACATGGCTCCGTGTGACTTTTGGCTATTTTCCAAGCTGAAAATGCCGCTAAAAGGAACCTGATTTTAGTCGAGTGAAGACATCGTGCGGAATGCAACAGACCAGCTGATGGCCATTCCAAAAGTTATGTTCCAGCAATGTTTGCAGCAATGGCAGGAACGCTGGGAGAAGTGTATAAACTACCAAGGAGACTACTTTGAAGGGGATTATGGTTTTGTACCTCAAAATCAATAAATGTATTTTTGCCGACCAAAGGTCNTATATATATATATATAAATGGACGTGTTTATGCCTATATGTCACTCTGCAGCCAAAACTACACATCGCATATGAATGGTGTTTGTGTGTGGTAGTAGCCCCAAGTCTCCCATCATGCACTATGGTGGTTGCGTCTCGATAGCTATAAGGGTGTGAGAGATATGGAGTTTGAAAGTGGTTGACTTTGAAAATGTGTAACGCTTCAATGAGAATGTTCCAGTTTTTTCTAGAAAGTTCCAGAATCTAGAGGTGAAATTTGGTACACAGTTAGGGTACATCATGAAAACGCACACTAAAAAGGGCTTTTTCGAAATTCCCCCACAGGGGGAGGGGGAGAGCATTAAAGCTTAACCTGAAGAATGGCTTCTACTGTACTATTTTAGATGCAATTTTTTTTTTTTAATTACGTGTAGTCTTCATTGAGTAGTTAGGAGTATTAAATTGATAACATTTCAGACATTGTTATAAATATTTTTTATATATTTCGTTTTTTTAACCAAATATTTGAACCATTTTAAATTCGAATTTCTTTTTGCATATTGGTTCATTTATAGAACGATTGTAAACGTTCCTGAAAATTGATTAAATTGAAAACAGTTTGTTTGATTCTCAGCAATTCTCATCATTCTCAGTGGTAGGTGTTAAATAACAATTGTTGTTTCAATAACTATGGTTGTTGAAATATTGAATGTAAATAGGGTTTGCTTGCAAAATCTGTGCAAGCGAAGCCACGGGTAACAGCTAGTTTAATTATATTTGTGGATAATCTGTTTTGAACAAACTTGAATAGATTATAACTGATGTAGACATTGTCAGTAAATATATCACCAATTATGAGAAAGAGCTTGCTGCCATACAGTAGTGGCCAAAAGTACAGCTACCCTTGACATATTTTTTAAAAATGCGACCTCTATTTTGTTTACCACATACTACATAATTAATATTGTGATAGTTGAAAACAGCACAAGAGTCAAATTACTCAATTGAATCAAACAGATTTTATTTTAAATCTGATTTACAAAAGAAAAACCCAAAGTATTTTACATTTTACACTATGACAAAAGTAGAAGAAAGAATACAAGAATAGAGATAAAGGATGAGGATGTTTCTCTGCTAGAGATAAAGGAAGTATGCAGATTTGTCCAGTATTTTTAGGACAAAGTATTAGTATTTTGAGATGTAACTAGAGCTTCTGATTACTGCATCACATCTACATTCCATTGAATCAACTAAGTTGTCAAGCACTGATTGGGGAATCTCATACCATGCTTTTTGGATGGCAGACCACAATTCATCTGGATTCGAATATGTAAGAGGTCTGTTCAAAAAGTATCTTTTATTTTTTCCGCGTAAACCAATGATGCGCAGGAGGCCTCTTTCAGTGGAGTTGTGGAAGGGACAGTCATGCACAGCCCTGAATTTTTTCCCACCTGCAGGAAGTGTCAGTCATTGGCAGTCGGCCTATGAGTGAGGACATGTAGTGAGCTCTCATCAGATTCCACTAAGTTGGAAAATGACTGAACAACGTGAGCAGTGATATTACATCAAATTTTGCCAAAAACTTTTGCGATACCAAAGCGTAAACCATTCACAAGATTCAGCAGGCTTTCGGGGACGATCCTCGAAGCGAAAATAAGTGCGGCAGGTCCACAGCAATATCAAGGTCATGTTGACAGTTTTTTCGACTCTCGTGGGGTGGTGTATCGTGAGTATGCACCACAAGGCCAAACCATCACAAAGGAGTACAACCAGGAGGTCCATCATCGTCTTTCCGATGTTGTGCGACACAAACGACCGGATCTGTAGTCGATCAAAACTTGGCAGCTCCGTCATGATAACGCATCCACCCATTCTGCACATCTGATTCCGACTTTCATCGCCAAACACAACACTCCTGTGGTTTGTCACACTCTGTACTCTCCCTACATGGCTCCGTGTGACTTTTGGCTATTTTCCAAGCTGAAAATGCCGCTAAAAGGAACCTGATTTTAGTCGAGAGAAGACATCGTGCGGAATGCAACAGACCAGCTGATGGCCATTCCAAAAGTTATGTTCCAGCAATGTTTGCAGCAATGGCAGGAACGCTGGGAGAAGTGTATAAACTACCAAGGAGACTACTTTGAAGGGGATTATGGTTTTGTACCTCAAAATCAATAAATGTATTTTTGCCGACCAAAGGTCCGATACTTTTTGAACAGCCCTCATATGCTGGTGTATACTGCACTCAACTTAAAGGTTGGATATCATGCCTATCTTTTTACTAAAATAAAAAAGAAACTTTAACAAAAAGGCATTAAATACATTTAAAATAATGTTACAAAAGAACCCCAACATTATATAACCTTCTCAGAAATGATAAACAGTGATCTAAATTTAAGGAAGACCAGAAATCAGGAGTATACAGAATATCAGCTAAAGCTAACAGATTAAATCTCAATGCAATATATGGGATTCACATCTAGTATGTTATGGGCAAGAATTAAGAAATATAGGTATGACATCTTCAGAAGTAAATTAACTAGTGTTATCAGCCTTTACTATGGAGGAGAGCAACTCAATACAGTGGGATAGAGTCAAGGTCTTCAGACAGGTTCAAGACAAAGGGAAGCAGTGTGCCAAGATCATTGAGGGAATGCATCAATAGATAACATGTTGTCAGCATCTCCAATTCTTGGAAGTATGCAATCAAAGAGAGTTGCAATACAGGTGTAGTTTATAAAGTGGCAAAGTAGCAGACTAACGGTGAATCATATCTATATTCGTATCATGATATCCTGCTTCATATATATTTTTTATTTTATATTTACTGGCAGTATATCTACATCACTTGTGTTTTGAAAAAACTTGAATTAAATTACATCATTTGCAAATGTATTTAAATAATTAGAATGTGTATATCAAATTTCATATGCAATTTAGAAAGTCTGAAGGAGGTTATGAACAAACCCAAAAACATTTGCTAATAGGAAATGATTCATTCTGGAGTGAATAAAAGGTAACTGCTTCAAATGGAAAAGCCTTAATATTAATCATGTTATAATGATTAGTAGTAATTTTAATTAATAAAATTTGGCTTAACTAAATAACTTAAATACATTTTTGAATTCTGCTTGTTAAGGTTACAAAACTACTTAATTTTCTTTTGTTCTAACTTATATGATGTTCTTAGAATGATAATTTGTACTGAAGATGCTCAAATGAAGCTAAAAGCATTTTGAAAATTAAATATTTGATAACCATAATAAGCAGAATTCAAAAATATATTTGATTATTTGTATTTTTTTAAAGTAAAATAACTAATAGGCATAAATCAAAATAAAATTTCATCAATCTTATGTAGGTCTTGTACATAAGTGAGGAATTTGTTACTGTTTTCAGTCTACATCTAAGATTTTCTACAGGTAATCCAGAAGGTTATTTCCAGAAAGATTCAATTTTGAAAAAAATCTACTTGAAGGTCTTAGATGTAGAATGAAAATGTTAGTAACAGATTTCTCACTATGTGCAAGGCCTACATAAGGTTGGAAAATTTTATTTTAACTAATAGGCATATTTTATAGTTAAAAAAATATTAAATTTGAAACTGAAATGATGAAAAGTAATGAAAATTTTTTTATTTTTCTAATAAAATATGTACCTTTTAACATTTTTTAGTTGCTTTGAACAACAGATTTCCTTGTTAATATATTGAAGAACTAGACTGTCTTCACAGATGAAACTCAAAATTTTAAAATCTGAAGTAATATACACAGACTGTACTTCATATAAAGGTATGTTAATAAAAGGAAGACTTTTGATATTAACAGTAGGCATTTTTTCATAATTTCTAGAGAAAAACAATAATTAAATTAATAAATTTTATTAATATTTAAAGAATTTACACTGTTAAAAAATAAAACACTTTTTAAAAAATAAATTAATGATATAATGATAAAATAATACAATGATATATAATCATTGGTTATAATTTAAAAATAAATTATCTCTATATTATCATTCATAACTATGCAATATTTATTGATAATGTAAATTTAATTTTCTTCTAATCTTATATGTAAAAATGGATTTTTGTATATGTATAAGCATATTAATTTCGTACTGAATGAAAAAATTTGAATTCCTACAACTGTAAAATATTCTCAGATTAAAAATTTTTAACTTTAAACAATAACAGGAAATCCCCATTAATTCAAACTTGAATAAATCAAAATAGCGTTAATTCATAACTGTATTATTTATCCTGGTCACAAATATAGAGATTTGCACGTTAAGGAATTCAGTTTGTTCAAAATACAGCTACTTCAAAATTTGCAGTGAAAATTCTGTCCGAACTGTGATATGCATATATTAACTTATATGTTTAGATTGAAGTGCCTCCATATTATAAAAGAGCAATACACCAAGAACAACTCTAATCTAGTCAATACAGCTTTGTTTTTAGGCAATACATTTTCAGGTGTCATTTTACCCATGGATTGGCATTTTTTCTCTTATCTCATAAAATACAGCTGGGTTTCAGAATTACAAGATTGAACTACAAGTAGCAATTTCAAATATTTATAGGGCTCTAGGCTACTACATTTGAGCAACTTGGTAACTCTTTTTAGGTACTTTAAGAATGATTTGGGCTACATTTCAAGGAATTTTGCTTTACTTTTTACAAAACATATCTGGTAACATGTGAGGTTCTCACCAGATATGTGCTGTTTACCTTTATTATTAATTATTAATTGAGGAAAATAACAGTTTTATATGTAGCCATTTTCATACTCCATTTGCTTAATAAAATATATTAGTTACATGGCATTTGGCATTATACCAAATGTAACTAATATATTTACAATATGTCATATTGTACAGAAATAGGTAAATCTTGATAGGATAATTTGAAGTCTCAATTATTTTCTTGCTTGAATTTCTAACTAATGAAGATTACCTGCAGTATTATTAAAATGATTTCTTTTATAAATGTTCTTAAATAAAGAGAAATTTTATAATATAATTATAAAAATATAATAGAAAATTGTCTTTAAGCATTAATTATAATTAATAAACATATTTAAATTTATATATTATAAGTTTCAGTATCCCCTCATCAAAAAAGTTGCTTCCTGGGAACTATGCCAATCATTTACACCATCCAGCAACTCTTCATTTGTATGGAAATGCTGAATTCTCAGCCAGACCTTCATCCATAGGAAAAGATGAAAATCACTGGGGCTGAGGTCTGGACTATATGGCAGGTATATAAACAGGTCCCAAGAAAACTTCTGTAGTGATCTTTCATACAAGTAGTTGTATGTGGATATGCATTGTAATACAAAAACACCTGATGTCAAAATTCTCCTGTTTCTTTTGAATGGCTCTAAAGAGCTTTTTCAAATTTCATACTCATCTGTGAAGTAATCTCCCATATGGCAACTTGCTTTCATGAGGAACAGAAACTCATCCCATGCTACAAGTGCCTAAATTTACAGAGCAATTACATCAACAAGTAACCTCAACAAGTAGCTAACTTTTGTAAATAATGAAATAGTTTTCTTCCTTTTTTATTTTCCCTAACTGCTCATTAGAAGTTAATTTCTGAATAGCCCTCATATCATCTAAATAGCATAGTATTGCAAATGTCTTTTTAATACTTGTAGGTTATCCTCCTGCATATCATGTCGTATGTTGCTTTCCCTCCTCCTCCTCTATTATTATTATTATTATTATGTTGGGTTTAGTTGGTAATACTCGGTTTAAACCAGTGGCTGTGTACTATGCCGGACCAAAGTCAAGGCATAGCAACCAAAACAAATTAAATAAGTGTGTCAGTGTCTGTATTCAGGAATTTCCTAACAATATGACATGTATTCAATATAGTGGCCTTCTGTAGTGTGATGTATGTATTTCTATTCAATTGTAATGTTCCCAGGCTTTTGTGTAGTGTGTGTGGTATCACACCTGTACAGGAGAGAACAACAGGTACAATAAGCACCCTATCCATCCTCCACAGATGCCTGATTTCCTGGGCGAGTTCTGTGTACTTGCTAATTTTTTCAGTGCATGTGTTTTGTACATTGTGAGTGTTTGGAATGGCTATGTCTATAATGTATGTGATTTTATTGTGTTTGTCAATGAGTGTGATGTCTGGTCTGTTGTGGTAAATTGTTTTATCTGTGATTATGGCTCTGTCGTAATACATTTTGTGCGTGTTATTTTCCAATACTGTCTGTGGAATATACTTGTAGTATGGTTCGTGGATGTCTGCCAATTTGTGTTTCTTTGCAAGCTCTTGGTGTATTATATTTGCTACTTGATTGTGTCTATGTAAGTAATCTGTCTGTGCCAAGAGCTTGCAACCAGAAGTGATGTGTTGTATAGTTTCTGGCATGATGTGACATTTTCTGCATGTGTCATTTGTGAGTGTTGTATCTTTGAGTATGTGTTTTCTGTAGTTTTTAGTATTTATGACCTGATCCTGTATGGCAATCATGAATCCTTCCGTCTCCCCAAAGAGGCATCCCCGATCTAACCAGCTGTTTGACGCAGTTTTGTCAACAAAATCCTGGGCCAGGTCGTAAGGATGCCTGCCATGGAGAGCCTTTTGAGCCCATGATTGCTTAATGTTGTCTATGCTTTTTATATGTTGTGTCATGTCTGTATGTTGTGAGTGTAAGTTTAATGGTGTGTTATTTGAGTCTGCTAGAGTTACTGCTTTATGTAACTGTGATGTTTCTTGTTTCTTGTAGAAAAACTCTCGCAGTGACTGTATTTGTTTGTAGTGAAGGTTAACTATGTCAATCAGGCCACGTCCGCCTTCTTTACGTGGAAGGGTTAATCTTTCTGTGGCGGATTTAGGATGATGTTGTTTATGCTTAGTAAGTGTTGTTCTTGTTTTCCTTTGGAGTTGCTCGAGATCTGTGTGAGTCCAATGTATAACTCCAAAAGAGTATGTGAGTACTGGGATGACATATGTGTTTATTGCTTTAACTGTGTGTTTTGCATTTAACTGTGTTCTAAGTATAGCGTTTAACCTACTTTGGTATTCTTTAATTAATCGTTGCTTTATTTGTGTATGTTCTGTTAGTTTGGCCTGTTGGAATCCTAAGTACTTGTAGAACTCGCCCTCTTCCATGGATTCAATAACGTCTCCATTTCCAAGTGCAAAATCTTCTTTCTTCAGGATTCCTTTTTCTATGTGAAGTTTTTTGCATTTGTCTAGGCCAAACTCCATTTGTATGTCCTTAGTGTATGAATGTGTGATTTGTAGGAGTTGATGAAGTTGTTTTTGTGTGGATGCATAAAGTTTTATGTCGTCCATGTACATGAGATGTGAGAGTGTAAACTGTGTTGTTTTTTCGTGTCTGATATTGTAGCCGTATTGCGTGTTGTTTAACATGTTGGATAATGGATTCAGGGCTAGGCAGAACCAGAGAGGACTCAAGGAATCTCCTTGAAAAATTCCTCGCCTAATGAATATTTCGTTTGTTTGTATGGAAGTGTTACTAACCCTGAGATGTAGTGTTGTTCTCCAGTGCTGCATAGTGTTTTCGAAGAATGCAATGAGTGATGGATGTATTTTGTACATGTGTAGAATATGTAGCAGCCAACTGTGTGGAACACTGTCGAATGCTTTTCTGTAGTCTATATATGCCATGTGTATGTTTCTGTGTTGTTTGTGTGCTTGCCGTAAAATGACTGAATCTATGAGTAACTGTTCTTTGCATCCCCTGTGATTTCTACGGCAACCTTTTTGTTGTTCTGTAAGAATGTCGTGTTCTTCAACATGTTTGTATATTTTGTTTGTGATACAGGATGTCAATAATTTGTAGAGTGTTGGAAGACATGTAATTAGTCTGTATTGTGTGGGGTCTGTGGTGTTGTTGTTTTTAGGTTTCATGTAGGTGATGCCCTGAGTAATATTATTATTATTATTATTATTTCCCTTCTCACACATCCATTATTTGCAAAACAACGTAGACAAGTTTAAATGAATGACTAGATGAAATAATTAAATTTCACTCAAATCAAAGATTTCAGTAAGATTAATTTGTTTCAATAACATTTTAAAATATGTTTTTTATTTATATAGTCAGAATAATTATTCTTTAAAAAAATCAAACATACAATACAGAGTTTAACATTATATTGTTTTCAAACTTCAAAAGAAGTCTTCAGTTTGAATAAATTCAGAACAGAATAAAATTTTGAATAAAACAGAAGTTTGAAGATTCTTTTAAAAATTCAAACTTAAATTTCAGTTTAAAAATTTATTTTAAAAACTTTTAATTTTAAATATTTAAATTCTATGGTAAAATATACATATCACGATATTCAAATTTCAAGATGTCGATTGTACAAGATTTATTCTGGGTTCAAATGTTTGAACTGTTCTATTTATAAATAGTTGACAATAGCTTGAAGAAAGCTAAAAAGATTCTGTAAAAATAAATGTTTAGTAGTATTCTTGTAAGTAGTGCTGCTCTGTTGAATTTATGAATTTCTCAACATTTTAGTAAAGCATTTTTACTCTAATGTATAATAAAATGTCATTAGACATAGGTAAAAATATAAAGTATTTGAATGGATTTATTTTTAAAGTTTTTAACAAAAACTGAAAAATAAACAAATAATTTGGAGATATTTTATCACATCCTAAAAAATGTCATTAATACTTTAAAAATTATATGATTGAAAAGAGCCATAAAAATATAAAGAACATTTTAGGAGAGAGTTTTCTCTTATTTCCATCTGAATGTATAACCTGAAAAATAAATATGTAATCAGGAGAAAGTGCAAACAAACAAAACTATATTTTAATTACAACAATTAAATATTTTTATAAATTTAATTATTATTTTAATTACTAAAATGAAATTATACTCAGTCATCATTGAATTAAATGTATTAGAAAATACAAGAATAAAGAATCAGTTTGAATGGACATATCAATGAAGGCATTATTATTTCACAATTAAAACATTACTATTACTGTATTAATTACAATCCTGGCATTTTAATTAATTATTTTAATTAATGTTTTAATTATGAATTAATTTTAAGTGATTGTGCCAAAGCTTGGGAATAATTTTACTACTGTTTTTACATACTGAGGCAGGGAAAGTAGCCTATAAAGGAAGGTTGACTCCACTGTAAGAACTATATGTTCCTGAAGCGTGTAAAGGACGTTTAGAAATAAAGAAGACACTGTTGGAGTATTTCTATGTATTTTAATTTTTGTAAGGCATTATTATTGTTTCCAGTATGACTAATCTGTATCAACAGTAACAATGGTTAAACTAAACTGATACAGTTTTATCAAACAAAAATAACAAGCTTACGATTTATTTTACTGAAAGACAAAAAACAACACTTAAGATAAACTCTATACTAACTGACAAAAATTTATCAGTAGATGCCAATAGTAGATACATTTAATTGCATATGATTTGTCATATAACTCAAATTTTAATTATTAACATAATAACTATGGTAACAGTATATAACTATTCACAATATTTAAAAAAAATTAATAGCAGCACTAAATATAACTTTTTAATAGAAAATTTAATGAAATAATAACTCAAACATAAAAATATTTCATATTGAGTGATTTACATTACTCACCCACCTGCATGTCATTTAAAATTACTTAAATACTACATAAAATGTCTGAAAGCAATGTCCTATTACAATAATATAGCATTTTTGTTTGTAACTTAGAATGCATCAATAACATCACTGTCACGTGAAAAACACACAGATGTTAATTTATAAAATGCGCCCTCTGGATATTTCTTATTTTTTCGAAGTAAAGTTTTTGTGGATTCCTTTTGAAGAAGTTTGGGTGACGTTGTTAATTTGTTTTAGATCGATGTATTTAATTATTCATTGACTGAAATTCGAAATTTATAAAATAAGGTTAAAACGATTTAAGAGTGGTGACTCAAAATAAAAAAAAAATCATATTAATTTAATTACATATGGAAAGCATTTTAAAATTTTAATTTTCGAGTGGTATATGGATCGTAAATCTTGTCTGTTAAATTGAGATTTACATATACTCAATAACAATCAATAATTTCTTGGTCCCTACTCCAAACCTTTGGCTCTTAACTGTAATATTGTATTGCAGATGACAATTTAAAATTTTTATATACGAACTCTGTCAATTAAGTCATGGCGTCGAAATTTTTATACACATCGGTTATATCATATATGAATTCTTCTATGTAATTGTCCCCATCAGTGGCGTGCCGTCCATGGAAGCTATAGAAGTGTCGCTTCCCTTGTATTTTCTAAAATATAAATACGTATTGCGCGATTGCTTTCATATTTTAACGTAATGACTTACTTAAAATTAATATTTTCTTATAACCGCATTATGTATTTTATTACAAATTTCTATATATGTGAAAAACAATGATAAAATTGCTATTGTATATTTGAATATAAATTCGTATATGCATATTTCCAATGGAAGCGCCATATTGCCGAATACGGGACAGCTTCCACGGCGAAAATATTTGAATCATGTAAGGCAGCTAGATTATACGCATTCGTGCATGCACTCTAAAGAGTACCAACTTCACGCGGTTTAGCTGGTGGATGCTACACGCCAAAATATCGTATAACGCTTCCATTTATTAGCCACTCGTATGGAACTATTTGACAAAGTGGATTGTTTTCAGGTTTAAAAAGTAAAGAATATTGTACAGTACAGAAATTTTATGTACAATTTTTTGGTTCAGTTATGGCAACGCGACACTTGGGCGATCTGCCTAGGCCCTATGGAATGCCTTCCGAGAGGCCTTTTTAAGGGTAACTGGCCCCTATTCAGACGTTACAAACGTGGAGAAAACCCGGAAAACTCCACATGATCAGCCCGTCTGAGCCAGGCGCGAACTCATGACCGAACTTCCAGTGTTCAGGGAACAGAATCGCTTGGCTGTGTACGTTTCTTTCCAAAGCTATATTTAATTATAATTTTCTTTAAAAGTATATTCATATAATTGAAGAATATTTTGTATGTACCAGCGTGGCTATACGCCTGTTTTTATTATTATTATTATTATTATTATTAGTCTGTATAGTTTTAATTGAATTTAAATTGTAGAATTTTCCTTCTTTCCGATTTCTGTGTTCCTTTGTCTCGGACTTGCGAGAACTCGCCTCACCCCTAACCCATCAGGGGGTAGCGTTAGAACAAAAGGAAAAAACGAGGCTGGAGGGGAAAAGGAAGAGTTTCTAGAAGCATTCTTAGGCCGGACTCAGAGAGAGACACACGAGTGTCAACAGGCTCTTGAACAGAAAGTCGAGGAGCGCTGCAGAAGCAGGCCGTAAGAAGCGGATCAGTAGAAGAATCCGGTCGACGATTNACAAGGACAAATGCGGCTCTTGCTGAAAGTGTTAATTTCTGCTTTTTATTATTATTTTCACAATTTTATTTCCACAATTTTGTAAAAATATGTTTATTAAAAAATTCAATATTTGTTTTATATTATATTTATATTATATACTAAAATCGCAGTACAGAACTGCGATACAGAATAAAAAAGTACAGAACTGCGGCTCCCATGCATTTTGCAAAACTTACATTTCGACTCCCACCGGAACTCTTGCTTGCCCACTCCTGCTATATTGGCAAGTCACTAAAGACTGTCGTCACTAGCGTTACTTTCGATAGAAAAAGAGCTTTTAAATACTTTATATATACAGTCGACCCCCCTATAACACGGGTTCATATAGTTCGAATTCCTATTTCACGGCGAAAAAATTACGACAGTATTCGTACAAACACGCTTAAAAACTCGTATAATTCGGTAAAACGTCATCGCCGACTCGTGTCGCGACAGGATTGGTCAAATCTAGACCAATAGTGAATATTGTACAAACCGTTGAGTTTAAACGAGCAGCGGACCTACTAAAAACCATTTATTATTTAACGGCCATAAAAATTATATTTATATTAATGATGTCTCCAAAGTTCAGCAAATTTTTCGCAGAAAAAAAATAATTTATCAGGAAGCACGCGAGCGCCATTTGATGACAAGCTTCACGACGAAAACAAGCTTAAGCAATTGCGTGTCGAATGTAAGTAATCCTACAATTTTTTGTTTATAGCAATAGTTTATACGGATTATTTCCAAAAAATTATGTGTTGTGGAAATGTTGAGTCGAATTAGTCTAGAATCGATTAACTTTATGAAAGAAAATCGTTCAAACAGCCGTAGTCCGTAAACTGCATACGTGCCGGGCTGTGATTGGCTGGACTCGTAGAAAATGGATTCATAAAAACCGGAACGTATCTACCGTGTTATAGGGAGGTCGACTGTACAGTATATACTCTTTCATACATACACATATATACTGTATACTCTTTCCGCCCTGTGGGCACTAAGAGGGTCTCTGCTTGCAAGCCCATTATGGGTTCGGCCAGGCCCACAATGGGGCGACCGGGTGGTGAGGGACGGGGCCTGACATATCCGAACGGACCACTCCCCCGAAAAATTCTTGGGGATTTCTCGACCCGTTTGGATTCGAACCCGGGTCCTCCAGAGCGATAGGCTGCCATCTGGCCGCTCTTTTAAATACTTTGATGGAATCGACCACGAGCGATTTATTATGATAAAGTAATTAACAACTTGGCATAAAAAATTGCCGAATACAGTTAGTTTATAAAAAATAATAAAAACAAGTTCTTATAGCCTATCTTTGTTTCGTGTCAATTATCTATTTTACAATTAAAATATATAAATTGTTTATTTTTGTCATTTCCAGTATTTGTTTAAAACTTTTTATGAAAACACAGCTTCCCTAACATCAAATGTCACCGCACGCTACCGGTCCCCATTAATTAGAATTTTTTCCAAATTTTTAGAAGTCGCCTTGCTCCATCTGCCGAATTACAGTACAGTCGCCCCCCCATAACACGGTAGATACATTCCGTTCTTTATGATGTTCTAAGAGTCCTTGAATACATGAGCCAATCACAGCCCGGCACGTATGCAATTTACGGACTACGACTGTTTGAAAGGTTTTCTTCCATAAAATTAATAGATTCTAGACTAATTCGACTCAACATTACGAAAACACGTATAATCTTTTGAGAATAATTCATATAAACTATGCTATAAACAAAAAATTGTAGGATTACTTATCGAGTGTGCACCATTCGACGACGCCATTGCTTAAGCTTGTTTTCATCGTGGAGCGGTGCATCGAATGGCGCTCGCGTGCTTCCTGATAAATTATTTTCTTTGTGCGAAAAATTTGCTGAACTTTGGAGACATCATTAATATAAATATGATTTTTATGGCCGATAAATAATAAATGGTTTTTAGTAGGTCCGCTGCTCGTTTAAACTCAACGGTTTGTACAATATTCACTATTGGTCTAGATTCGACCAATCCTGTCGCGACACGAGTCGGCGATGACGTTTTACCGAATTATACGAGTTTTTAAGCGTGTTTGTACGAATACTGTCGCAATTTTTTCGCCGTGAAATAGGAATTCGAACTATATGAACCCGTGTATAGGGGGTCGACTGTATTTTTCTATGCATGTCGCTCTGATTGTTCAAAAGTATGAATAATCTGTCTTTTTATCATGGAATTGTTTTTGACGTAGAGGTTCTTGAATAATATTTTCAAACAAATCAAAATTACAGGGGTTCATATCAGGTGACTGAGTATATATTAGAACTGGCTCACCAGCGGTCAAGCGGTCTTCGTAGCCTGAACATTGGGAGTTCGGTCGTAGGTTCACGCCTAGCTCGGACGGGCTGGCCACGTGGTTTTCTACACGTCTGTAACGGGATAAGGAAAACTGGCCTTAAATAGGGCCAGTTTTCTTTAAAAAGACCTCCCGGAAGGCATCCTCCTAGGTAGATCGCCCAAGTGTTGCGTTGCCATAAATTAACCAACAACAACATACTGGTATATTAGAACCCCAGCCCCATCTAGTATAAAATAACCGTCGTGTGCCCGTCCTTAACTTTGACGGACACACGACGGTGAATATTATCGTACAGAATGATTGGCGATTCTTGAAGTATTGGTACCTCAGACCACTTGCACCATACTACTGGGCTAAGGTGATGCTTTAGAAATCTCCCTTAATTAATTAATTAAAAATCAGCATTAACTGCTTGTTCATTTAGCTTATTGTGTGATATTATCGCATGCCAATATCAGTCATATATGAACAATCATCATAACTTTGATGACTCCATGCTCTACTCGTAACTTCTTGGATCGATGGTCAAACGGCCAACATATGAAGGCGGCTTGCTACATATGAAGTCTGCTAGTTCGGAGACCCGAGATCGAATCTGGGTGAACAACCGTACGAATATTTCATGGGCAGTATGTTTCGGATATGTCTGGCCTCGTCTTTCTTTTTATTTTAACTCTTTCCGTCCTGTAGGCACTAAGAAGACCCCCCTTTTTTAACGAGCCCAATTATGGGTTCGGCCAGGTGGTGAAGGACAAATGTCGGGCCCCGTCCCTCACTATCCAGCCGCCTTATTTTGATTGTAACCAAACCCATGATAGACTCGATTAAAAATGCTCTCTTAGTACCCACAAGGCAGAGAGTCAATAATAATAATAAATAAATAAGTGAGTTCCAGAACGCTATGTTGATATTATATAATTGTTTATTGTTAACAAATCAAATTCTAGATAAAGTATGATTAAAACAAATATATCACTTAAAAAATTTATAAAAATGAAATATTTTAATTTAAATTAAATTAACAGTTGTATAAAATAAAAAATATGTTTAAATATATAAGAAAAATTGCTAAGGTGTTTAGAAATGGTAGAGGGCGTAGTGTATATTGTATGTCGAAAGGTTAGTTTTAGTTTAAAAACTCAGGTAATTGAGACGTTTATAATGGATGATGATTCATTGCTACAAAGAGTATTTTATGTATACGACGATGGTGAAGAATTAGATTTGAATATTCCTCCTACATCAGGAAATGAATATCTTCGGAGAGTGCAGTAAGTAAACATTGAACCACTCCACTTATTATAAGTCTTGTAAGAATTAAGTTAACAGGTTATTAAATGTTATTAAAGTAATTTTATAAAGTTGAGCATGAAAAGCATTTGGTAAATCGTCTTACGATAAAAAGTTCATTCTAAGACTTATAACATCTGAAATATGAAATATAAACTTAAAATCTAAGCTTGCATTTCTTACTTCAGTTGTTTTCATATCAATTATATGAAAATTGATAAATTGTTAATAAATAAAAATATTTATTTCATTTTAATTTAAGCTAATTTACAAATACAGTCAGGGATGCCAGTACTATACATTGTGGCACTTGAGGCACTTCCTGTTTTTGCCTTTGTTGCTCTTTTTATAATTCCCAAAGGGGCTCTAAATTCCATTATAAACAAACAGAAAATTCATTACTTCTAGCCTATTCTGCAAATATAAAAGTAACTAAGGAACAATATTTGTTCATTATCTAAGCAACTTTGTCATACATTTACCAAAACTTGGCCTTGAAAACATTTCGAGGTCAAGTTAGCCCTGATTGCAATAATGTCATCTTGTGGGAGTGACAGCTGGATGGCCAATTGGTCAAGTTAGCAGTCTACCGCTCTGGGAAACCTGGAATCGATCCTGGATGGTCGAAAAATCCCCAGGGTGGTCCATCTGGATGTATCGGGTCCCATCCCTCACCACCCAGATACCTCATTGTGGGCCTGACCAAACTCATAATGGGCTTGCTAAAAGAGGTCTTTTAGTGTCCACAGGCAGAAAGAGTTAAAAAAAAAAAACCTTGTGGAATGCTAATCTGATAAATCATAGTTTGAAGCCATACTTTAGAATGGGAATTAGCTTGTATGTTGGTAGAAAAACACTGACAGCATAAAAAGTAAAAAAATTCTTTATTAACACTGATATTACACATTGCTTATATTAAATACCTTTAATAAACAAAATTTAATGTTATCTCTGCATATGATATCTTATAAAGTTATTGCCATAAACACTGTCAAGAATATGGAAATAGCTTTATACACTTTAACATCACAATTTAAAAAAGGTCAAATATTTTAAGGAACATATTATAAATCTACACCTAGATTTATGATGTGTCATGAATCTTGATATTGCATGATGAGTGGCTCCTGTTATGTGTCTTTGTGCTATGTTTTGCTTTGTTAATACAGTAATTTGTTTTGTTATGGTACAATGTACTCATGACAGTTGCTATCAGTCAGTTTATTGACTTTCACTGCAATTATTAAGGACAGTGATTTTTCTGGTTATTTATTTCCTATCTGTCTTTTTCTTACCATACTGAATATCTTTTCCTTTTGCTGCACATCAGTGCAGGAGAGGCCCTGCAATGCTGCATGGTAAAATCATCCTCAGCCTTACTATTTTACAAAGATTACAAACCTTTGTAAAATAGTAAGACTGAGGATGGTTTTTTCTTGAGAAAGTTCATACCTGTATGTTGTTAAGTGATGAATCAGATGTTTCTTCTTTTCAGGTGAAGAAACTGTAGCACTGATCAATAATTTGGTATAACCGTAAAAGTAACTTATTTCCTTCTGCTGATGAGTTGACCATAATTGATTTAACCACCAACATGATGGCATTAAAGACTTGCCAGACTTAAAGATTCAATTTATCTTATTACATTTGAGCTAAAATTCTCATACATATACCAACCTACATATTAGTCTTGAGTCTTTCCCAGTAGAAGGAATCTGAGGTCATTCTGATTCTCTTCAATTATTTGTAATAAAATACGTAGTATGTCTTTGGTATATATATTGGTGTTAGACTTGTTAAATGAAGTGTTTGTGTAATGATATCAAATTCTTTAAAAATGCTGACAAAAGGAAAAAGTGGCCATTCCACTGACAAAGCATACAAAATGCTTCTGGTTAGCCTGCCAAACACTGATGATTGGCAGTTTTGTGAAGCTTCTTGCATAATGTATGATGCCATTTTTTTAATAGCTTTTGAGCTCCCTTTTGTGTAGTCTGTGGGTGCTGCTGAATACAGTAATCATATTTCTTAAGATGAGTAAATTAATAGCAAGTTTCTGCATTGGTATTTTCTGTTATATAATGTTATAACTATAAGCAAAGTCCCCCATTATAAGCTTATGTTATAAGATAAGATTGTAATGATAGCCAATCAGAGTAGTCCTTTGCTTATAACAGGGCCTAGATGTAATGAAAGATTGACATCAATTTTTCAAACATGGCAAGTGAAAAGAAGACACACTTTCATTTTACTGATGCCGAAAGGCTTGAAGCGACTCATGAATTATTCAATAATATTTGCAAACACACTTCAAAGAATGAAAATGAACTATGGCAGAATGTTCATTTCATATTATGTCAAGGTAATCCAAGGTAAGAAACCTAAACTATATTAAATATATTACTTAATTAAATGGATAGAAACTGATATATATATTTAATTTTAGATTTAAATTTTGCAGTCTCTGATTGTTAAAAGAGCATATGCTAGATCAAGTAAAGAAGTTTAAGAAATATAACTCCTCAAGGATATGGAGAGTGGTCGAGAACGACTTAATACCAAATGGGGTATAAAAATGCATGATCTCATGACTGTATGGCAAAATTATGAACAGTTAGTAGAAGCTGATGCAATATCAAAATTAAACAAAGCAGGACAACCAAGGATGGATATAGTTAAAAGAAAACAAGCAGATGTGGAAATTGCTAAAGAAATTCCAGATGCTACTTCAGGAGTAATTCATGAAAATGCCAGTAAATATAATTATGAAATCAAAAAAATAACTAGTTAATTATTAAAAAATATTTACATTAAAATCTCTAATCTCAAATCCTCTGTTTCTTAAATTCTTCCTTAAGACAAACTGGATTGTTGGTCCCAGTAAACACTGTATATAATATAATGTATTTTCTATTCCTAAAGTCAAACAAAATTTTAATGTTAAGTCACATTATAAGTCTGTAATAAACTTATTAAGTTATAAGAATCTCTTGTTACATTGCTTTAATACAGCTAGATAAACAAGCCAATGATATCAAGTTGGCAATTTAGTGAAAATCTACTAAATATAACTTTCCATTAGCATCATTGAGCAGCTTAAAAGTTATGTTCTCTACCTGGTGAAAATGTTAGTGGTTTTTTTTTTGGTCACAGAGGGTAGAGAAGAGATCCCACAATAGCTAAAGTTTATTTTATTGTTTTGTTATATAGTTTCCATTAGGGTATACTGGTTTTCTTGTAATTTGTATTTCTATTTAGAGCAGAGTTTTTTGTTTGTGGCAAACCATCTTGAATTTTCTCTTCAGTGATTATTAGTTCATGAAGTCTTTTACATTAATATATATCTATTGAATCTATTCATGAACTATCTAAATTTCCTGTACCTGTTTTTCTGTAGATAAATTATGTAATGTATTATGCAAAACTTAAATTTTGAATAACTTCAGTACAGCATAGAGTTCATTTAATGTTATACCTGAATTTATGATATTTATTTAAATTATGTTAAAGCGTTATATATTGTTATAATAATGATTCAAATAAATATCATTGACTTAAATATATTGCAGAATCACATGTGTTATTCTACTATTTTGTACTTTGCATTTGAATAAAAATTTTTAAATTTTTTGAATACTTCCATATGAACTCTCCATAACTCAAAGTTGCATTTTTTTTTTTTTTTTTAGATTTAGAGATTTTACTGTGTATCACTTTTATAAAATCTTAAAATATATATAATTTTTGATTAAGCAACTTGAGTATATATTTCTTATGCTATAACGCAGTGTTCTGCAACCTTTTTCTACTTGTGGCACACCTATGACTCAACACAGCACACCACAATGTTATTTTCCTCAAAAACGTATGATATGATACTATTAATAGAATTACATAATGCCATGAACCTATTATTATTATTATTAATTAGACATCATCACCTATGAGCAAATTTATTTTACATTTCATTTCTTAGAATACATAAAAATGCATGGTTTGTAATAAAGAATAAACAAACATCATCATATTTCATTAGTGCTGTGGCAGAGAATGAAATACAAGCATAAAAACACAGCAACTGTGATAAAAATATATAAATAAAACTTGAAATTAACAGAATATGTAAAAGTTTGTCACACCTTCACCATATGATGGCACACTGGTTGCAGAACACTGCTATAACTTCTCATTGCGATCATATTTACTAATATCTGAATATTGTTTATACTGTGTAATGAATAATATACATTTCTTTAAATAATTTTTTTATAATTACTGTTTTGTTCAAAATATAGTATGACTCAAGTTTCAGAAGTGTTTCATAAGAAAAAATAGAACCACTATAGTACAATTTTTATTTTTTACATCTACAGAATTATCTACAAAAGAGAAAGTTACCAGTACATGTTTATTTAAAATTTGGGTCAAATGCTTTAATAATTCCCTTGTTTGGTTGCTGAGATGTTGAGCCTCATTTTTCAATGCAATTTGCATCTGCCTGTTTTTCTTGCCTAAAAATTACATAAAAGAAATATTATTTTGACAATGTGTTAGCAAATTAGAACAGAAAAATATTGGCATGATGTTTTTGCAGTAATGCCGTGTATAAGGATCATACTGTATTTGGGTTAGAAAGAACCTTGGTTGTATACAATTCAACTCTTAGAACTAGAAATTTTGAAAAATGTATTATATTTGGAACAAGACAATAATGCATTTATAAATATTTATTGTTGATATATATTCAAATAAAAGTGTACTTGTACAAAATTTTTACTACTACATCTTTTTATATTTCAAAATATTTTAATATATATTTGCTATTTGCTATTTGCTGTGGATAAAAGGATTATTTAAATAATCCTTTTATCCACAGCAAATAGAGAAGATAAAGATGATTGTGTACTTCCTAATAACACAGTTCTTTCAGCACAGACTATTCTCACACAGTTGGCAGATCCCAACAATTTTGTAGAAATACAATCTAACAATGGATCAAATGAATCACAAGATGCAATTGAACCATTACCTCAGGACTTATTTAGGAAGCATACAGAATCTGTAAGGAAAAGCAGAAATAAAGAAACAAAAGGAGTGTGGCATTATCTTGCAGAAAAAAATTTGTTGTGAAAGAGAAGTTCAATTACAAATGCATAAAGATAACATTGAATTAAAACGTGAAGAACTTCAGTACAAAAGACAAAAATTAGCATTTGAACAAGAAAAATGGAAAGTAGAGATGGAAGAAAGAAAACAGCAAATGCAAGTGACAGAATCACTATATAAGGCCTTAATGGCATTTGCTAATTCCAAGATTAATAAAGAATATAATAGCAAATAAATATTTTTTTTATTAAATGTTTTCAGTACTTGAGTTTTAAATGTATTAAAATAAAATAAATCAATGAATGCTACTTACTTTTATTTTTCCTCTTTTATTAAAAATAATTATTAATATTTAGTGATTTAAAATTAAAATATTAAAATTGTATGTATGTACAAACCAGTATGTGCATTTGTCAACAATACAGCAACAATGTATATTTGCCTACTAGTTGAAATAGTAATTTCTGATTTCTACAAGACAAACTGTTGTACTAATTTTCTAGAATTCCATTCTACATATTTACATACTTTAGACATTTGTAGATTCCAACTGGCTTGTTCATCAGTAAGATTCATACTTGAAAAGGGATGCTTTAACTGTTTTCTCAAAGGATAGCTTTCATTAGCAAACAAATGAAATCTTTCCAATATAATTCCAATTGTTACATTAACAGTATTTTCTTTAATATAAAAGCATCATGTCTTCTACCAAGATATGTTAAACTCAAATGTAAAATTATCCTATTTGGAATTGTCACATTTTGGAATTTTAGACAGTAAACTCTTTCGTCCACTATATATTGATACATTTGCTGATAACACTTAGGTCTGGAAATTGATCTTGCTCTTCCTTCTATAAATCTTATGCATTTTTTTAATGGTGCTTCTTTAGTATGAATTAAAGCTGCAAATTTAACCCTAATATCTTTTTCAAACCATTATTTCTCCAATGTTTAATAATTTTTCTCACTTGTCATATATAAATTGACAAAGCATCCTCTAAATAACTTAATAATTTGCTCAAAATAGAATATTGCATTCTAAATTGAACTTGTAGTTTTTTTAATAAATTTGCATAAGCAAATGTTAATAAAATGCATAATCCTTCAACTCAAAATAATATATAGAAATTTTAATTTAATTTTCAAAATACAAACAGCTAATTTAAACAATACTTAATCAAAGAATGTAATTGTTATATTTGATGTAATCAATATATTTAATTAATTAATTTAATTAAGGCATATACTTTATTTCATTTTTGAGATTATATCATTCTAAAATAATACATGCATTTTAAATATGTAATAAAGAAAAACTAGCATTTATAAATTATAAATCAATTAATACCCTTACTTTCTCTATATATATACTGTATATATAAAAGTAAGAACAAATAAAATTGTGTTAAATGAAAAAGTATTGGTTAACAAATACTGTAAAATTTTATTCCTAAAATTGAGATAAACTATATTATTGGTTTTCATTTCTATTTTTAAAGTTTATTTACATGCCATAATATGCCTGTCAGAAGTCCTAAATTTTGGAGTATTTGCAGTTTTTTCAACAATTTCATACCATTACATTTTTTAAATCAACATATGACAAACTAACACCTGAAACATTTTTAATATAAACATTTATGTTCCTTATCAGTGCTCTGTATTTATATTCAAAATAATTTGCCAATTCTACTGGATCAAAGATTCCCAAGACTCAGATGAATGACTTCTGAGTCTTGGAAATCTGATTTCTAAGAAAACATTCATTTCTTGACATTTTGAGATCTTGAGTCCAAAAATGTAAAAATCTTGGGGAATCGTTTTTGACAAATCACCACACTTTCCCTCTGTTATATATAACAGAGCCAGGAAAGTAATAATAACTTCTTTTTTGAATTATATAATCATAAGTCTTATTACATGTGTAAAAATTAAAATGAACTCATTACATATATTCTTACATGATTTTTAAACCTTGTACAAAGTTAACTTTAGCAACAAAACAAACCCCACTGACTGGAACTTGAATTTTAAGATTTTCCACACAAATATGGCAGATTTAGTTTCAGACCACTGCTGTAAAGCAAATACAATCTTAAAGAGAATCACAGCTTTTTTCACTTGCTAGTGCATATAAAAGCCTAAAAAAAATTGCAGGTAACATAATAATGTTTAAAAAAATATTTTCTTTATTTCTCACTTATCAATTTATAAGCTGATCATTTAACTCAGAGTACTACTAGTTTTCTTTGTCATCATCTAGATCTGAAAATTTATCACTCTTGAAGTATTCTCTAATCTGTATACACTTCTGTCATTGCAATACCCATGCATCATATACATTCTGCAATAGAGTTTAAACAGAACAAATTCATGTGGGGAAAAACATGGAAATGTTTTACTATTTAAATAATCAGTTCTTTGATGTAGTATTATATTCATAAGTTTTCATTCATAATTAAGCATTACAGGAATTTGAATTATTGATTTTTTAATAAAATCAAAGTTTATAATTAATCCATTTTTTTTTATTAAGATAATTTATACAAATGGTATTATCACAATGTCAATGTTATCTTAATAACACCATTTATATTTACAATGGTATTATCATAATGATGCCATCATGACAATACCAATGCCAACACATTTATATATATGTAAGTAAATGTAAGGTAAGATATTTATCTTACTTAATTTTATGTAGAACTAATTAATATTTCTTTAAATGTTAGATATTGTATTTAACTTTGTGAACTTTTTGAAATTATATTTTTGTAATTACATAATCAAAATATTATTTATTCTTGCTTTTTATTATTTGCTAAATTTATATTATTGAAAATTTCAATGTAGTTTTGATAATGTTTGACATTAAACAATATTTTAAATAGATTGGAAGCTAAACAATGTCCAGTTGTTAAAGCAGAAATAGATACAAGTCGTTTTTTAGGCAATCAGACAGTTACAGTTAATGGAGTAAGTTTATTTTATGATTTAAAATTTTCTATAAATTAAGAAATATAGTATTCTATATTAAAAAGTAAATTGAAATAGAAATTTATTAATTTATCTTAATATTTATTTATTAGATATATTGTACAGGTAACCCCCATATAACACGGCACTTCTATAGCACGGATTCACTCTAACACGGTTCGAGAATTGGTACCATCCCCCGTATAACACGGTACTTTTATAGCACGGATTCACTGTGACACGGTTCGAGAATTGGATAAAACCCTCGTACAACAGGAAATGTAATAAATTTTTACATACTTAACTAATAATAGTTCACGAAAATTATTATTTTCGTGAACTATTAGTACTAAGTATGTAAATTTTCTCTTCTCGCCTTCTGTCGATACAGGTGGTCCTTCTCGAAACTTGTTACAATGTTGCCAGATCGCGACGTTTCTGCTTCTGATGTTGCCGAATGTTTTTCCCTTATTCCATACTTGCTTTATTCTTCATAAGTGCTTAGCACCATATAAGGAAATTTATAAAGACCTTTTAACTAGAAGCAAGCAATCTAAAATTACATACATTTTGCAAAAGGTAAAGCATGGATCTGAAGATAATGCAGAAAAATGCTCAGAGGATAAGGATAACTTGCCAAAAAGAAAACGCTCTCGGTTAATTAATAGTGTTTTTAGTGATGACGAAGAAAACATTGTTTAATTTATATTAATATGTATCACTTAAAAAATTTTAATGAAGATATTTATCTTAATTATGAAAATATACTAGCATGTTTTTTAATTTTTGGAACCTACCCCTCTTTTTCATATTAGTTCTTTGTTTCGTATAACACGGATTCGCATAATACGGCAATTTTTTGGAACGTAACTACCGTGTTATACGAGGGTTACCTGTATAAGCATGAAGGAAACAACTAACAACTACTAGTATCATTTGTGATTTTATATACTTAAAATTACAGATGATATCTGTTTCCTTCATGCTTCTATATATACAATATATAGAGCAATATGTAATATCTTATAATATTATTATATGTTGTTCATCAGAATTTTGAATTGATTAAGTTAATAGCAGGTTTATTAACTAAATTAACTGAAAATTCATATAAAATTTCAAGAGGAAAATCATGTAAGCAATCCTTTTTCTTAATGTAGATCTATCCAATGTGCATAATTATATTTTGAAATAAAATCAAGAGATTTCAGTAAAAATTTTATGCATAAAATATTTCATTAATATATACAAATTGTTGTTTCATTTTTAATAAATTCATTCAGTATTACAAAATTTCTAGATTTTCAGTTAAAACACAAGGGATGTACTATATTGATTTACATTTTATTTTTTTAGTACAGTTAAGAGTTGTTTGAGGATATGCATTACATCACTTTGTGATGGATCTGTGCAACACATTAAGGGACATTTTGGGAGAATGGGATGGCAGTTCAAAAGTATAAAAATAGTGTTATTTAATTATTGGATGACTTCAAATACTGATTTTTGAAGATTCTTATAATTATTTAACTGTAATGAATACAAATACAATTCATATCAAAACATAAAAGGAATTTAATGCAGACTATGTCATGTATATATTAGTGGCTTGATAGCATTGCATGCCTGCTAGCAATAAATAAAATGTAAAATGAGTAAAGTATATAAAATTATATGTATTCAACCATAAAATTATTGAAGTTTTTGTAATAAAGTACAGATAAATTTTATTACTTGATTTTTTTATAATTTAACACACAAATTATTTTAATATTTTAAAAACAGAGTAAGGTAATTTTTATTTTTATGTTAATATAATTTAGATATATTCAAGATTTTAATAGGAATATTTTTGTTATTCAAAAATTTTTCCTACATTATAATTGATAATAAACATATTTTATTTCCAGTCAACTGGTTGCTTACCAGCACCAAAAGGTTTTGCTCCTTCTAAATATTGGCAACAAAAACAAATTGCTGATTTTTCAGAAGTTAGACAGGTGAATATTTTTAATTAACCTACATTGAAGCAGTACAAGGTGTTCACAAATGATTGCCCTCATTATAATATGCTTTAATTTTCTAACATTGAATCTTGTGTAATTATAGTTTTAAGAGAGAGCTCTGTGTACTATTTGGTTATCTGAAGCAAAATCTTCTGTGAGTGTGCAAAGAATGTTTAGAGCCATGTCTACTAAAAATCCTCAAGACTAAGATTATTAAATTGTTAGATGGAAAAGTTTTGGGTTGATTGAGAAAAGAAAAAGCACTGATAGATTGTTTGTTCTGAAGGAACAGTGAATGCAATTCAAGATGCTTTTATACAATCACCCCATAAATCCATGAGACAAATTTTATGTTAGTTATGTAAACTGTTGTACAGGTTGAGAATTCTTTATTCAACCTGACCACCAAAAACCAAACAGCTTAAAAATTCAAAAGTTTTTTTGAATGCTGATGTGATGCACAATAAATAGAAAATTTTACAAAGCATTGTAAAATTTTCAAAAAAAGCAATATAGACATGGCAAATTATTCCAATTAGCAACAGAAGCTCTGTCCAGATACAAATGTGTATTTTATATTCTGTCTATTTTTCAGAATTTGCTGCTTTGTGATGTGATTAGTAGCATAACATTGAAGGGAATTGAATACTAACAAATTAGCATTTCATGCTTTCTATTCATGTTACTTGTATGCAGGGTGTCCTTTTGTACTAAATCAGTCATACTCTACAACTTTGTAATTGACTTTTTTCTGTATGAGGCAGTGTTTTTAAGATATGAGCACTAACTTACAAATTTTACTGTTAAAGGTGCTGCAAATGATCTCGTCTTGTAGCACCTAGTTATTTTACTATAACTACACATCATGATCATAACTGTAGCTAGCTGTGTTTGTAAGTTAAATTGATGTTTAAGGACTAAACACCAATTGTATGCCGAAAATCTATCGGGCTAGTTTTAAGGCTAATTACTAAATGAATTACGTAACCAATTTACGTAATTCATTTAGTAATTAGCCTTAAAACTAGCCCGATAGATTTTCGGCATACGGTTGGTGTTTAGTTATGTTATATATCGGGTTTAGCAATGTTTGATGTTTGAGGACCTACTATGCATACAGTTTATACAACCCTTGACATAATTTTCTAATCACTTGGAATATGACATACAGTAGCTATAAACAAGAAAACTGAAAAGAAATAGCTGAAGAATAAAATTTATTTTTAAGAAAAATTAAGTACAAATATTAAATAAATTATTTTCATAAGAATTAAGCTTTCTGTACAAGAAATAAAAATTTAACATGAATTTTTTTGTCCTCACATTTATCCAAGTAACTGACATATAATTTGGTGAAATTTTGTTAATTTACCAATACTAATAAAATTTAGTGGCAAATTGTAATATGGGTAATCATTTATGGACACACTTATATATTGCAAAATTGTTTATAAATAAAATTTATTGATTCTGATAGAAAAAAATTTTTATAAAAGAACTAGCTTACCCGTCGCACATTGCTGTGATCTCAGAAGAAACGAAATTCAAGCAAACTCGTTATAATAAAATTCAATTTACAGTTTATCATTTTTATTGAAACTTGTTATTATTATTATTATTATTATTCATTTTCATTGGGAAAACATTTCAAAGTGTCATTTCAATTCTATTTATTTATTGGAGTGCTTGTGGATACATGATATTTTTTTGTTATTCCATCTGGTGTGTACATGAATAAATCAGAAGGTTTTCCAACGCGTGAGTGGGCCAAATACAGTTGTCCATGAGAGAAGCACGGATTCTCTAAATTTAGCCCATATACTTGCAGCGTATTCCGTTTTATATGAATTCCATGTTGTACAAGTCACTTAAATTTTACAAATACGTGAGCCGTTCACAGCCCGGTACACGTATTTGTAAAATCTAAGTGACTCGTACAACATGGAATTCATATAAAACGGAATAATCAATGATCTTATACGGGGGTCGACTGTA